ATCGTTCGTTCGAGAGCAGAAAGCGTTTTGCTGTTGTCATTCTGAGTGAGAGGGGGGGGGGGGGGGTTTGAGCAGCTCGTTTGGAGCGACTTGTGACGTTTCCCCGCGAAAACATTGAGGTGAGCCGAGGCTTTTGTCCTGTTGCGATTTAAAAAATATATCTGTGTATCGAAGTGTTTACTGTGTTGTAAGCAGACAATACAGGGTTACTTCAATAAAATGTTAATACTTCTGAGAAATTTCAACAACGCCACAAGAAATGTGCCTCCTGGCTCTGGAGACCACCTGGAAAAGATTCCAGGCACGCGTTGACAACGATGGTGAGGAAGTTGGAGACTCCTTCACTTTTTGAAGCTATCAACATACATTTGTTATCATGTTACAGAATATTATCCATTCTCTTTCCAATAAAAATTATAGTCCCATATAATTGTTAACAATTTCTTGAAGCACCCTGCATTTTTTCAGTCAGAATCTTTATTTAGACTGGAGGAATTATTTTTCACAGATGTCCATTGGGAGTGAACATTGGGAAATTAATGGGATTTCAATACTGTACTGTGACTTGTAACCCGGGCAGCAGATGCGCTTGTTATTATCGTATCGTGACCATAAGAATCAACTTTAACCAACGGCTCGTTACATCCTGACTCAATCAATGTGTTCATAAATGTGGAATCATGGTGCAATGGTTAGCACTTCTACGTGACTTTACCGAAAGAACCAAGAAGATGAATCCCTGCAGTCACGAAAGCTTTAAATCGAAATGTAGCCAGCTCGTCAAAACTCTCAGACGACAGCGACGGCACGCTATGAAGCGCTCTTAGATTATTATTTTTCACACACAGATGGTCCAGTAAAGGGGAGGCACTGGGGGAGTCATCAAGTGGCAACTGGCAAACAAAATACAAAAAAAATTAACCCGTAAAAACAAAGTTTTTCACTATAAATCCTTTATATGCGTGGCATCGGTTTTATGTTATTATTCATTTCTGTTTTTCTTGAGTAAGAGTTTCATTTGTATCACATTGGTATTTTAAATTAAATATGAAATATTTTTTTTCCTAAAAAGTGGAAAATTTAGGAATTTTTTTTCACGAAAATAAATTGTCACGCACAACGAGTCTGTGTGCAAAACGTCAGCTCGATTGGATCACGGTAAGTGGGTTAAAAAACGACCGAAAGATTTGCACGGTCGTAAGCGCGCAAGCAAGCGAGTGAACTTAATATAAAGGATTTAAAAACGCGACGCGTGTGCAAAGCAATGGGGAAGCTAAGCAAGTCGCGAAATATAAAATGCAGGTAGTCCTCTGATTACGATGGAGATGCGTTACGACGACCCCATCGTAAGTCAAAAATATCGTAAGTCGAACCGTCGTAACTCGAGGGCTATCTGTACATTCTTGAATTTGGAGCTTTCGTGACTGCAAGAATTACTCTTTGGTTCTTTCGGTAAAGTCACGTATAAAGATAAAATAATAAATTAAATAATAACATACGACGTTTCGATTGCAACACAAGCAATCGTCATCAGGTATAAATGAAATAGCAACAAAAAATCTAACCAGAAAACAATGGCGAGTCCTCGCCATAGAGACAATCTCCCTCTCTGTGCCTGTGTTACTCTCTCTCTGTGTATCTTGGTGATATCTGTCTGCTTATATGTCTGTCTATAGTTTTCTGGTTAGATTTTTTGTTGCTATTTCATTTATACCTGATGATGATTGCTTGTGTTGCAATCGAAACGTCGTATATAATTATTTAATTTATTATTTTATCTTTATACGTGACTTTACCGAAAGAACCAAAGAGTTATTTTCTGTACATTCTATACGCGGGACGTTGACTTGTTGGGCAGGCTCTGTAAATTGCGCTGCACTTTCAGAGACGTGTGGGTTGCTCACTGGAGCAAAGTTAATGTTGACTTTATTAATAAACACGGCGTGCCCGCGAGTATAAATACAGCGGGGTGGGCACGCCCTAGGTGCAAACGATCTTGGGGGTTTAAAAAAAACCAAGAGGAGGTTTTACCCCTTCATACTCTTAGTTCTTCTTTCGGTAAAGTCACGTAGGTAAAAAATGAAATTAAAAAAAACAATAAAATCACGATGTTTCGGAGGCAACACAAGCTTCCGTCTTCAGGTGAAACGGTCACAGAAAAATATCTGTATCAAGTGAGATATTTTGCTGTGACCGTTTCACCTGAAGACGGAAGCTTGTGTTGCCTCCGAAACGTCGTGATTTTATTGTTTTATTTTTTTAATTTTAATTTCATTTTTTACCTACGTAACTTTACCGAAAGAACTAAGAGTATGAATCCTTGCAGTCACGAAAGCTTCAAATCTAGAAGTAGGTTTAACCCCTTTTCGGCAACAAAACATCTGTTAGGATATTCAAACGCCAAATAAGATACCTTGTTGCAAGGGATCAAGTCTGCATTGATCACACGCGGTACTCGTGGTGTACATGCAAACCAACACGCTCCGGTAATATATTGCCATTGTCGTTGAGATTGATTGGCCTACTGCACCAGATACACGGAAACCTTCTTCATGTCAGACCAGAGAACGCCAAAAGGCAAACAGTGCAGAGATAATGCCACACGTGTCGGATCATTCATAGCTCGGGTTGAGCAGTGATATCATGGACCCTTTTTTTGCCAGTTTCAAAGTATGAATAAATAGCAATAATAAAACAGACGTTAAGATCTTCAAACACCAAATAGAGAACTTTTTCAAGGAAGCAAGTGGTTGGTTGAAGCAAGCATTTATTTGTTTCACTTATCCGCGTCTTACTGTACGTGATTTCTAACCGGAGTAACATCTATCCACGTCAAAGCGGGCCCTCTAAATATCCTCGTGTAAGTAAATCCAGAGCTGTTGGTTCATCCTTCACCCGTGTTGAGGATCCGTGCCACAAGACTGTCCCCTCTCATCCACACGGTGTTTGACCACCACACTGCAGGTCACAACAACAGATTCACTCTCATTCACTCACTCACTCAGCCACGAATTCACCCACTCTACCACTCGTCCACTCACTCACTCACAACACTGCAGGTCACAACAACACACTCACTCTCACTCACTCAGCCACGAACTCACACACTCGGCCACTCAGCCACTCACTCACTCACCACACTGCAGGTCACAACAACACACTCACTCAGCCACTCACTCACTCAGCCACTCACGCACTCAGCCACTCACACACTCGGCCACTCAGCCACTCACTCACCACACTGCAGGTCACAACAACACACTCGCTCTCACACTCATTCACTCACTCAGCCACGAACTCACACACTCAGCCACTCATTCACTCACCACACTGCAGGTCACAACAACACACTCACTCTCATTCACTCACCCACTCAATCAGCCACTAACTCATTTGCACACTCACTCAGCCACTCATTCACTCACTCACCACACTGCAGGTAACAACACATTCACTCTCCCACTCACTCAACTCTCCCACTCAGCCGCTCACCCACTCATTCACTCATTCAATCACTCACTATCCACACTGCAGGTCAAAACAATCCACTCATTCTCTGACTCACTGACCCACTAACTCATTCATATACTCACTCATCAACACACTCACCCACTCACTCACCCATTCACCTGCTCACCCACTCATTTGCTCGCTCACTCACCACACTGCAGTTCACAACACTTCTCTCTCGGTTTTTTTCATCACAATGCTTCACTTTGGAATACCACAAACACTTCTCTCACTAGCGATACCGAGTGAACGTGTCTCTTGTACATGTGTCTCCTGTAGACGGTGCGGAGATGGTAAACGTATCTCTTGCGGCTGTTGCCGAGTGAATGTGTCCCTTGTAGACGTTGCCGAGATGGTGAACGTGTCTGTTTCAGATCTTGCCGAGCGAATGCGTCCCTTGTAGACGTTGCCGAGATGGTGAACGTGTCTGTTTCAGATCTTGCCGAGCGAATGTGTCCCTTGTAGACGTTGCCGAGATGGTGAACGTGTCTGTTTCAGATCTTGCCGAGCGAATGCGTCCCTTGTAGACGTTGCCGAGATGGTGAACGTGTCTGTTTCAGATCTTGCCGAGCGAATGCGTCCCTTGTAGACGTTGCCGAGATGGTGAACGTGTCTGTTTCAGATCTTGCCGAGCGAATGCGTCCCTTGTAGACGTTGCCGAGATGGTGAACGTGTCTGTTTCAGATCTTGCCGAGCGAATGTGTCCCTTGTAGACGTTGCCGAGATGGTGAACGTGTCTGTTTCAGATCTTGCCGAGCGAATGCGTCCCTTGTAGACGTTGCCGAGATGGTGAACGTGTCTGTTTCAGATCTTGCCGAGCGAATGCGTCCCTTGTAGACGTTGCCGAGATGGTGAACGTGTCTGTTTCAGATCTTGCCGAGCGAATGCGTCCCTTGTAGACGTTGCCGAGATGGTGAACGTGTCTGTTTCAGATCTTGCCGAGCGAATGCGTCCCTTGTAGACGTTGCTGAGATGGTGAACGTGTCTGTTTCAGATCTTGCCGAGCGAATGCGTCCCTTGTAGACGTTGCCGAGATGGTGAACGTGTCTGTTTCAGATCTTGCCGAGTGAATGCGTCCCTTGTAGACGTTGCTGAGATGGTGAACGTGTCTGTTTCAGATCTTGCCGAGCGAATGCGTCCCTTGTAGACGTTGCCGAGATGGTGAACGTGTCTGTTTCAGATCTTGCCGAGCGAATGCGTCCCTTGTAGACGTTGCCGAGATGGTGAACGTGTCTGTTTCAGATCTTGCCGAGCGAATGCGTCCCTTGTAGACGTTGCTGAGATGGTGAACGTGTCTGTTTCAGATCTTGCCGAGCGAATGCGTCCCTTGTAGACGTTGCCGAGATGGTGAACGTGTCTGTTTCAGATCTTGCCGAGTGAATGCGTCCCTTGTAGACGTTGCTGAGATGGTGAACGTGTCTGTTTCAGATCTTGCCGAGCGAATGCGTCCCTTGTAGACGTTGCTGAGATGGTGAACATGTCTCTCGCAGATGATGCTCACCATCTTCCTGAGCCGCGACGAGTGCCGGCTCACTACGGTGCCCGTCGCCACGGAGACAACGTGCCGAGATGTGCTGGAGCGTTGCCGCGGCACCAGTCGCCACGGTTACACCCTCACCGAGCTCTGGCGCGGATACGGTAAGCGCCGCTTCGGGTTGCGATGCTTGGGTGGACCGCACGATGAGAGATCCACGATCACAGCCTTCTGCACCTTGCGACGTGTTGGGACATCCTGATCGTCATTGCTCATTTCATATTTAACGATAATCTGTTATGATAACCAAAGGAAAATTCGCTCATGATTTTCGTGTGCCTGTATATAGAAGTTCACGGTTTGCACCTTAGGTCCACACTATCAAAAAGACAGATAGAGATCCCCCGTATAGCCTTGAACAGACTGTTGGGGCAAAGTGCTGTTAGCGAGCAACAATGAAGGGCCAGCACTGTGGCACACGAGGGGGTGGATGGCCAGCACCACGCCCAGCCACCTTTGTCTCCCAGGCGGCGATGTTCACACACCACAACCAGCCACTCATTTGAGGCCGAGTCGACCTCGGGTAGGCTCAGGACCGGCTCGGATGATCGTCACCGGTGTTGGCCGTGAGCGGGGTTCGTAGCGCAGCGCGCTTGACCGCTGCGCTATCAGCCACCCCCTTCTATCAACACACTATGAACGCGCACACACACACGCACACACACACACCATGTGAACGTCGCTAAACGTCACGTGGTGTTGGGCCCCATTTTTGGTGGCGGCACACCGGAAGCATCCGGTGTGGCACCCCCCCCCCCCACTCAAGGCGACCTTTGACCTCCGCTAACGCTCCGTGACCTCTAAAAAAGGACAAAAACCGGCAAGTGGCATGGGAAGAGCAATGCTCTTAATATCCCAAGAGGGGAGAGACTCCCTTAAACCTAAAAGCCTCGTCTTGAGCGTTGTCATGTTGCTACTATTATTATTGTCATTACTACGCAACTGACCAAACGGGGACTTTAAATGTCTCAGAAAGACATCAGAAGGATGATCCTGGGAAAACCAGGACAGGGGGGGCCGGGGGGGTGGCATGTGCGGGGCAATCTCAAAATGTCAAGTTCCTGCTAAAAAAAAATCAATCAAATCAAGCAATTTTGTCTCGTAAATATCAATAATGTTGGGGTCTTGGGGGTGGCGGGGAGGTTAGGGGGAGGGGTGATCACCCCCCCAGGTGCCCCCCCCCCCTCCACCAGCAGTAGTGGGGTCACCCCAGGGTGACGGCCGTTTGCGCTCGCCGTCCGCAGAGCGCGTGGTGGCGGACGGGGAGAAGATGTACGCGCTGCTGCAGCACTGGGGGAAGGAGGTGGCGGATGTCAAATTCTACCTGCGCTACGACGGGGACGACCCTCCTAGCTCGCCCACCTGGGACACAGGTAGCCGCCGAGACCTCGAGCAACGGAAATTAACCGCGGCGTACCATACGCATCTGCTCGACTCGTCACAGAAAAGTGATAGAGTCATACCTCTCGATTTGACTTTTCCACCCTTTCACGTCATTTCGCAAATATGTCGTCGTTGTACTATGAACACCACTCCCCAATTAGCGTCGCCTCGACCTCACACTTCGCTTTTGTTTGTGCTTCGTTTGTCGTCCTTCCCCCGCCGCTCCTCCAATTAGCACGGTTGGCTACGGTACGCCGCGAGAGAAGTTAAACGCGCGTACGTGTTTACTGGGTAAATAAAATCGTTTTGGAGTTTTTTTTAAATGCGGCTCGAGACAACAGGGCGCTAAAACACAGAAATTGACCAAGAAAATGGAGCAAAGTAAGAAAAGTGCGCGCGGAAGCAATGGAAGAGGTCAGAGAATGTTCAGCTGCGAGAGGCAACTGCTGCCCTTCCCCTGCATGCTTGCCCGCCTGACCCCGTCACCACTGTCACCACTGTCACCACCGCAGAGGTCGCAAACGGGTTTTGATTCCTTACCCATACCCGGCCGCACCAGGGTCGCAAACGGGTACCCGTACCCTACCCGATAACTGGCTACCCGTACCCGGCTGGGTATCGGGTACTGGTACGGGGATCGGGTACCCGATTGCGACCTCTGGGGATGAAGCCATGTTGCAGGCGCGGGTGGGTTGATTCTAGGAACTTGAATTGTGAGAAGAGACAAGACGTTAGGAAATGAGTGACAAACGGTTACTCACCAGTGACTCACGGCCTACCCGTACCCGTACCCGGCCGCACCAGGGTCGCAAACGGCTACCCGTACCCGGTTGCGACCTCTGCACCACCGCCATCGATCCTCCCACAGCTGGTGACCGGCCCAACGCGTCACGATCCGCGCCCGCGAGGCTTCACGCAAAATCAAAGAGCAACAAAAAAATCCCCAAAAGCTTTCGGTCATTCTTGAGCACCCTTGGGATTCGGGACACGTATGCCGTTTAAATATATTTTTCTATTTTTTTCAACTAAATATCTCGCCGCATTTGACAGAAACACTGCTGCATAGTGAGTAATTATTTTTTTAAAGCTCACATTTCACGCACCAACCCTCCCGCAGAGCATAAGGCAGTGTGGTTGATAAGGGTGAAAAAGTCGTTCTGTGCACCCGCCGCTGCTGTGGATGAAGGCGCCCCTCCACAAGCATCTCTCACGGTCCCACAATGCAAAGGGGTCGTCATGTCCCTGCACACGAGACCATCTCATTGCTCCACCCGCATGGGCCGTCATCCTTTTGGATCATTTCGATTTGGCTGCTGTAAATTTCCACAGGATGATAAGCCACTTCGTTGAGCCAACATTTGTGGCTCGGTGGGCCCTACCTGGCAAAATAAAAAAAAGTTATTTTTAGTGATTTTCTTACCTTTCCTACACTTTGCACTCCTATTATGTTGTTGTATTGTTTGTTGTTGTAACTTTCTGACCCGCCCCTACTGGACATGTGTGATAAAAGAGCTTTATAGCTCATCGGATTCTTTCTGCAGTATAAATAAATGTTCTCATTCTTTTGGGCTGCCACTCTGTCGCCCTCCGATTAGCAATAGTTTGCTAAGTACGGTGCAAAAGAAGTTCGAGTGAGCCTCCATCATCGACCCATCATCCCTACCTAGCGACGTATCCTTCCCTGTGACGTTTCTAATTCTCCTAATCCCTCCGATCTGAGTCGTCCCCTTCCAGCCTCTGGGCATGACTCCTAAGCAAGTGCCTGTCTTTCCTTCTGAAGGAGAAAACTGTCGATCGGCGCACAGAACCTGCATATGACCTGTGTTTTTGAACACGTGTGACAAAGAGTCATCGAGAAATATCTCGTCTGGGAGGATAGCAGTGGAAAACGAGTGATCGATCGAACCTTAAATTGAATTTGAAGAATGTGTGCTCTCGGCAGTCCAACAACTACCCTCCCACACGAAAGAAGGAGGGGGGAAGCCAATGGGAGGTGTTGCTTGGTGTACATCTAGGGTCAAAGGTCACGGAGTGCCTTTGGCGACAATGAGCTCACGTTAACGTGAGCCCTACACCCCGATCGTGTTTTTGCTCCCTGCCGCTCTCCCTCTCTCGCTCTCTCCCTTCCCCTCCCTTCTTCCTCCCCTCTCCTTCTCCACTTTTCATCTCCCTCTCTCTCGCCCTCTCCCCCGTCTATCGCTGCCCCACATCGCAGCTGGGGGGGGGGGGGGGCGGGGTCACGATGATTATGTTCCCAAGTGCCGGTCACTTGGAAGATGCGTGCGCCGGTTTTTTGTGCCTCTGTAGCGGTGGTGAGAATTTAAACGAGCGAATAGGTCACGGGCACAACAAAAGCTGTGCAGAAACGCTATAAGCGACGTGCTCCGTCGCCTTTGCATGCACGCGTGTCGAACTTCTTTCGCACCATACGTCGCCCACCGTGCTAAGCGCCTGCCTGCACACTAACCCGAGCAAATTGCACTTTTGTACACTCGCGCTTGCTTGCACACTTCAGTTCCAATTTGCGCTTCGACGTTCTACAATGAAAGATGCGGGGCGACGCTGGCAGCAGGGTCCCGTTGGCTTGGGCCAGAGCGAGAGCCACGCTTTGGAAACGCCCCACGCTTTTGTGACTTTCCCCGTTTCCTCCCACACCCCCCCCCTCCTCTCTCCTCCCTTTTATTCGCCTCCTCAGATCAAGAGAGCCGCCTCAACGGCGTGAACGTGCCCAGCACGACGGACAGGATGGAAAATGGGGTGAGACTCTCATTAGAAAATATTTCTCCGATTGTTTAATTATTTTTTTTGGGGTTGTTGTTGTCGTGTCAAAGGTTTGCATTCTGCAGCAACAAAGGGCTGTTTGTTGGTAATAAAGTCTCTTTCATTTTATTATTATTAATAATATTAAAGGGTAATACACTGGCCCATTCCGGAGATGCATAAAAATTCAAGTCGTGACCTTAAAAAAGGGAACATGCCCATTAAACAGACCGATCGTTGACGCTCGTACAGCTGGCAGTACCAACCGGCGTTCACGATGGTACAGCTGGCAGTGCCAAGCGGCGTTCACGATGGTACAGCTGGCAGGGCCAACCGGCGTTCACGATGGTACAGCTGGCAGTGCCAAGCGGCGTTCACGATGGTACAGCTGGCAGTGCCAAGCGGCGTTCACGATGGTACAGCTGGCAGGGCCAACCGGCGTTCACGATGGTACAGCTGGCAGTGCCAAGCGGCGTTCACGATGGTACAGCTGGCAGGGCCAACCGGCGTTCACGATGGTACAGCTGGCAGTGCCAAGCGGCGTTCACGATGGTACAGCTGGCAGTGCCAAGCGGCGTTCACGATGGTACAGCTGGCAGTGCCAAGCGGCGTTCACGATGGTACAGCTGGCAGGGCCAACCGGCGTTCACGATGGTACAGCTGGCAGTGCCAAGCGGCGTTCACGATGGTACAGCTGGCAGTGCCAAGCGGCGTTCACGATGGTACAGCTGGCAGTGCCAAGCGGCGTTCACGATGGTACAGCTGGCAGGGCCAACCGGCGTTCACGATGGTACAGCTGGCAGTGCCAAGCGGCGTTCACGATGGTACAGCTGGCAGGGCCAACCGGCGTTCACGATGGTACAGCTGGCAGTGCCAACCGGCGTTCACGATGGTACAGCTGGCAGGGCCAACCGGCGTTCACGATGGTACAGCTGGCAGTGCCAAGCCGGCGTTCACGATGGTACAGCTGGCAGGCCAAACCGGCGTTCACGATGGTACAGCTGGCAGTGCCAACCGGCGTTCACAATGGTACAGCTGGCAGGGCCAACCGGCGTTTACGATGGTACAGCTGGCAGGGCCAACCGGCGTTCACGATGGTACAGCTGGCAGGGCCAACCGGCGTTCACGATGGTACAGCTGGCAGGGCCAACCGGCGTTCACGATGGTACAGCTGGCAGTGCCAAGCGGCGTTCACGATGGTACAGCTGGCAGGGCCAACCGGCGTTCACGATGGTACAGCTGGCAGGGCCAACCGGCGTTCACGATGGTACAGCTGGCAGGGCCAACCGGCGTTCACGATGGTACAGCTGGCAGTGCTCACCGGCGTTCACGATGGTACAGCTGGCAGGGCCAACCGGCGTTCACGATGGTACAGCTGGCACTGCTCACCGGCGTTCACGATGGTACAGCTGGCAGGGCCAACCGGCGTTCACGATGGTACAGCTGGCAGTGCCAAGCGGCGTTCACGATGGTACAGCTGGCAGGGCCAACCGGCGTTTACGATGGTACAGCTGGCAGGGCCAACTGGCGTTCACGATGGTGCAGCTGGCAGGGCCAAGCGTCGTTCACCATGGTACAGCTGGCAGGGCCAACCGGCGTGCCCTGAGCTGACCCGGCCAGTGGACAATGTGCAACCAGTTGAAACTTTTTCAAACAACAGGTCACCTCTCGGAGTGTCCCTTGTTTGCCTCCGGTGAGCTTTTTATTGTTGTTGTAATTTTTGCCCAATTTTCATCCCGATTGTCACATCGACCTCCCCATCATGAGATGAAAGCATCGATTTCGAAAGCTCGCAAGGGCAGCAGCGTGGAGCCCCTTCGGTAGAGGGCAGCACTTTTCTACCCGCTGTGCATATGAGAGCGATGCCCAACGGCACTGCAGTCACATCGATATTTTCGATTTGCAGAGCTGGAATTTAGCCCGATTTTAGCGCAGCCCACGAAAGTTTAAGGTGTTCACTTATTTTTCGTGCTGTCATCCGTGACTGCGCTGAGATAGTCAGCTCGCTACACTTGATTTAATCGCGGGCGTGGCTGAAGCCCGGATTCAAACCCAGCATCTCGGCGGTGCCCGACCTCTGGGCCACCCGGTCAGTCCTCCTCCCTGGCGGGTTTTAATTTTGCGACGCCACTCACAGCCTCCTTGAATACCGGGCGCCGGCCTCATAACCGCTCCCTCTGCCTCCCCCAGCTTCCCGCTCATCTCGGCAGAAGATATTTTAATCACCGACTCCCTAGCCGACGAGGCATCTCCCACGTGCTCGCGCGCTGTCGAAATTTATATAAATTCTCCGCCGCTCGCCCTGGAGCCAGCTCGTTTGGTCGTTCAGCTCGGGCGCGGTCGTCGTTTGCCAACCTCCGTCCACTCCGCTTCCCCCTTGCACTGGAATTCCTCAGCCCGTTCCTCATTGGGGCTCTTTTTGAGAGTTCGTTCGGCCGCGCGTCGCGCGTTCGAGACGGTGGATTTTTTTTTTTTACATCTGCCAACTGTGGATGCTGCTTGGATGCAGCAGAGGATTATTTTCACTTTCAATTCGCTTCAGAGCTCAAACGCTCGAGTTGCTTCCGTGGCGCATGGCGGGTGACGGGCCGACCGGCCGGCACGACTTTTCTGGACGCGACGACAACGAGACGTCAACTTTTGCCGCCGCTTCTACCGACGGGAGTTGAGGGTCGGCGGTCGAAATGTCGGTGGGGGGCTCGTGGCTACGGTGGAGGGCGGCGGCGATGATCGCCGGGGGGCCCGTGGCACTCGGCCGCTCGCACCACCGCCTCGTTTACCGGCCGAGGAGGGAGCAGCAGAGGGCGGCATGGGGGGCTGCTCCCCGCAGGCGGACAGGACGAGCGCGGGTTCTCCTGCAGGTCGTAAAAGCGTTCACCGGTTGTCACGTTTGATGATGATGACGATGACGACGATGACAACACAGTCGCTGTGGCTACGGATGGCAACTAAATCGTTTCCGTGTGTTTGGTCGTTGTTGTTGTTACTAGTGGGCTAAAGGTTGCAGCCCTGCAATGTCTTGCTCATTCAACCTTGTGCCACACAGGGACAGCTGCCACCGGGGGGGTCCCCTTGGCTAGATGACGGCACGGTTGGCTACGTACGGTGCGAAATAAGTTCAACATGCGTTGCCGGGGCATCGTTTAAGCAAGCGCCAGTATAAATTAAAAAAAGCAAATCCTGACATCTGGAGACCCCTCGTGACCCTGACGACCCCCCACCCCACTCGCGTGCAGGTGGGCGGCTCGGGTGTTGAGCTCTCGCTGTCGGAGCTGCAGGAGGTCGCCGAGAGACAGCAGCAGCAGATCGAGGCTCGTCAGCAGCTGCTGGCCAGCAAGGTGAGGGCGGTGGCAACGTCACGTGATGATGAGCGGCCACCAGCTCAGAGCCGAGACTAGCAGCTCGAGCAGCATCGGTAGCACGCGGCCGGGATTGGCGAGAGGCGCCCTGCCGCAATACGGTCTGTACCTTGTCACGAATATTACAGGGTATGGGATGTGTTAAGTAGCACACAGGGTGTGGCGGATGCAATGTTAAATACTGGTCGCGATGTAGTGAAACTTGTTATCCGTCGCCAACCGCCGAGATTGGCAAAACCGCGGTTGGCAGTACTCAGGCCTTATGGGAAATAGTAGGTTCGGGCAACCAGAACTGTGGTTACACTCGTCAAAACCTCACTATGTTGCCTGTTCCTTCACTAAACAGAAATAAAATACACTGACATAATAAAAAAAACAATACTCTCAACTAAACTATTTTATTTTACCAGGTAAGGCCCCACTGAGCTATATTGCTCTTTTTCAGAAGCGACCTAGCCACGTGATAGCCCAATGCAGTGGCTTATCACGTGGAAATTTATCGCAGCAAAATACTCGAAAATGAACGTCGATTCTAAATGTGGATGGAAAAACCGGAGAACCTGGGGAAAAATCCACGCGACCACGGGGGGAGAGAGAGAGACACCACCACATACTCCAAATATACAGCAGCAGGCGTCGGGGTTGGGATCGAACCCACGACCTCCCACGTACTAGGCAAGGGAGTTGACAATCTCGCCTCCTCCGTGACTCCGCGAGCGGCTCTCTGCGCAGGAGCGGCGGCTGCAGCAGCTGAAGCAGAAGGAGCGGCGGCGGCGGCGCCGCGAGGAGGCGGAAGCCGGCGCCGAGCGTCTGCGTGCGCTGCGGGAGACGCTCGCCGCCCAGGAGGAGCGCGCCGGGCGCCTCCGCTCCACGCGCACCGAGCTCCACGCCAAGCGGCGCGCCAACGAGGACCTCGGTGAGATACCGTGCGGCGGCGATGTTATCGACGGTGTCCTTTTTTTGTAGCCGCCTCTGATCGGCACGCTTGGCTAGGTACGGTGCGAAAGACGTTCGACATACATATGTACACACATAGGCAACAGTGGCGAGATGTTTACTACCTCGCCTGGTATACAGGAGGTCGTGGGTTTGATCCCAACCCTGACGCCTGCTGTATATTTGGAGTTTGCGTGTCCTCATCTCCCCGTGGTCATTTGGATTTCTCTCCGGGTCCTCCGGTTTTTCGCTCCACATTTAAAATCAACATCACTCGTTTAGAGTATTTGGCTGCTGGGAATTTCCACGTGATAAGCCACTTCGTTGAGCTTTCATTAGTGGCCAGGTCCCTCCTGAAAAAGAGCTACATAGCTCAGTGCACACACAAGACAAGGCTGCTCTAAGTATGGCCACTGCTTCCGCACAGCTTCTGGAGATGCAGTTGCCTCTAGTAAATCTCCACATTGTATCATGTTGACTCACACAGAAAGTCAATATGAGACTCATGAAATCACTTGGAGCACCACGCACCCACGTACGAACCAATTGGACTCGCACAGAGATTTGTAGACTCGCATAGAGAACCGTCCGCCCACATGGGAGCCCGTAGGCCTCACACGTTTGACTTGACAGCCTTTATATAAGAACAAATAAACACACAAACTGTTTCTATGCAACGTCCGGAGATTCGTTCGCGTGCAGAGGCTGTGTTAAATCAACGTTGTGTTGTGTGGCAAATATACCGGGCAGCTTGAATCGTGGATTTGATACAACATTTAAATTGAGCGTAGCCGCGCAATGGTTTTCGCGGCACAATTAGCGCGACGCTGCCGAGTGGAATATTTTTCTGCTGGCTGTATGACCCCGAGAGAGAGAGAGACTTCAAGAAGAAAGAAAAAAAGCACGCAACATGACGCTCATCTTCGCGTCGATTTGTCGCCCCCTTCGCGTTTCTTCAACTGTGGGACGTTGTTAGTGACAGTAAAACACATTTCATATTTTTATATATACACACATGAATAAAAAAATTAATAACTCGCGAAGGAGCTGCTGCTTGAGTGACAAATTAGAATAAATTTTAGTAAAAAATGCTTTACCAGGTAAGGCCCTACTGAGAGCTGAAGTGACCTTCAGAGAAATCACAAGTGACAGCGCAACGAAGTGGCTTATCATTGGGAAATGTGTTGCAGCCAAATACTCTAAACGCGTGACGTTCATTCTTAATGTGGAGGGATAAACCGGAGGACCCGGAGAAAAATCCAGGCGACCACGGGGAGAGAGACATGCAAAGTCCAAATATACAGCAGCAGGCATCAGGGTCAGGATCGAATCCACGACCTCCTGTATACCAGGCGAGGTAGTTAATTTGAAAAAAAATAGATGAACACGGCTAGTTGTGAAGGCCGATTGCTGCTTAGAGTATTTGAAGACGAAACTTTCTGTATCAGTAGCACCTGGTATGTTTAAGACTTTGCAATGAGTAGGAATAATAAAAATACTACCACTGATATTTTGTTTAAATTTTCTATAAAGTGGCCGGATGGCTCGGGGTTGACAAGATTGAGCTGCGGTGCCACTGAGATCCTGGATCCGAGTCCAGATTTCAACCGTCCAAAATTAAAATCGGTTCGCAAAATGTATGAGTTGATGCAGGCAGCCCTGCCCACCAATGACTGCACAACAACAAAATCTACAGTGAAAAAATTTTCGACTTTTCACTGTAAAAGTGGAATAGTTCAAGCTCCAAGAAGCATAAAAACATTCCCTTTGACTTCCACGCGGTGATTATTTATCTGCAGTGGGGTGAGTAGTGAAGCACGGTGCCCCTCGTGCGAATAAGAGGTCACTTGAAGGGATTGCAGAAGTAGTTATCCAATGCCTCCTTCAGCGGTGACGTCACCACGGCGCTTGTGCCAGGCCATGTCCACATAAAGGCCACGTGAAGTGTCGAACGCCCGCTGACAGGAGGTCACGGGACGACCCAGTTGCCATGGGTTGACTGACTGAGATGACTGGCTGAGATGGAGCCCCAAAGACAAAGATCCCCCGTATAGCCTGAACAGACTGTTGGGGCAAGTGCTGCTAGCCAGCACCTATGCAGGCCGGCACAGCACACGAGGGGGTGAGTGGCCAGCACCACGCCCGGCCCACTTTGTTTCCCCAGATGTGCTGTTTACGTACCTCGCCAGGTACTCATTTGAGGCTGAGACGACCTAGAGGAGGCCCAGGACCAGTTCAGATAATCGTCAATGATGTTAGCCGTGAGCGGGAATCGAACTCGGGTCGCCAGGTACGTAGCGCAGCGCGATAACCGCTATACTACCGGTCCCCACACACACACACGTATCATATTATAAGATGCACCCCCCAACCTCTGCTTTAAACTAGAGGGATAACAATTGTGTGCGTCTCATAATCAGGAGAACGTGGTGATCATTTATTTCTTCTCCAGCGCTGGAGATCGAGAGAGCGACCGCCAGCTTCCAGGAGAAGCGGAGGGAGCTGGAAGTTGCCATGGCGACCGTCACGGAGCTCAGTCGCCAGTTGGAGGGTCTCCGTGGCGACGGCACCGGGGACGGTTTCCGTGACGACCGCCCCCCCTCCTCCTCCTCCTCCGCTGCCTCCCCCGTGGAACAAGAGCTGCAGCGCTTGTACCTCGACCTGCAGGTGAGCGTGGGCGGCAATCGGACCAACAAAAGAGACCAGCGCCGAGAGCGAGAGGGACGTTGGTTAACACCTCTACGGTTCGTCGTCGTTATCCTTCTTGCCTCCTCCAAAAAAAAGTGTCCGACGTTTAAATTAAGGACTTGGTTTTTTTGTTATTGCATTCGTTTTTTTTTGTTCTAGTGCATTTGTCGCGTAGATTTTTCTCCGCGTCCTCCGGTTCCCCCCCCCTCCCCCACGTCTACAAACGTATTTGGCTGCTCCTATACATTAGCACGTGATAAGCCACTTCTTCATTTGGCGATCAAGTGTGATCGCCAGGTCGCTTCTGAAAAAGAGCTCGATAGCTCAGTTGGGTCTTACCTGGTAAAATAAAATGATTTTGTTTAGTTTATTGTTTTTATTATGCTAGTGTATTTTATTGGTTTAGTGTTTAGTGAAGGAACAGGCCAACATCGTTAGGATTTGACGAGTGCAACCACGGCTCTGGTTGCCCTAACCGCGGTTTTGCCAACCACGGCGGTTTTCAGGAACGTAAACCCCGCAGTTGGCGAGAGATAACACGTTCGTACTACATAGCGACCGGTATTACATTGCAATCGCTACACCCTGTATTCTACTTAACATATCCTATATCTTGTGATATTCATTACAAGCTACGTCACCGCATTGTCGCGGAGTGCCCGTCGCCAATTCCATTCATCCAGTTTACTCCCTCCACCTTGCGACTCAACACCTGCTCCAGATTCAGGGTTGCAATTCGGTTCTCAAGCCGATTCCGTTTGAAATCTCTTTCAACGTTGTCTCGGTCGAGTCGAGCGATCCGTGCCATCCGTGCCGTCTTACATTTCTTCTGTGCGATGCATCCCACTGGCCAGAAAGTAAACTTCTGCATCTGCCCTAACCTGCATGTGTAGGTACGTACGTGTACAAAGGTAACACTCCCCCCGCCCCCCCTACTCTCCCCCAACCCCCACCCCGTCCGTCATCCCCACACAGAGCAAGACGACGATGAACCAGGAGCAGAGCGCGCGTCTGCAGGAGCAGACGGAGCTGCTGGGCCGGCGCACGAAGGAGCTCGCCGCGCTGGAGCGCCAGCTGCAGGACATGCGCGGGCGCCTGCGCAGCAAGAAGGAGGAGGCACTGCGCGAGGGGCCGCCCCCCCACGGAGTGCGTGAACTACCCCCCCCCCCCGTAAATAAATAAATAACCCTTCATGCGTAGTGGCGGCCTTAATAGGTGCTTGCCAACGGTACTTGCGCGCCTCCACTACACGTCCAGACGTTCTCTCTCCCTCTATATGAAATCGGTTTAGACCGGTTTAAACCGGTTAGAACCGGTACAGGCAGTCCTCGACATACAAACACCTGCACTTAGGAACACACGCACTTATGAACCAGCTTCCATGAAATGTGATGTTTTTTTTTACATTGGCTTAAAACGCAAATTCCTACGGGCATGTGTGAGTGCGTGAAAGTGGGTGAGTGCATGAAAGTGAGAGCGTGGGTAGAGAGGTGCCCTGAGAGAGGCCGATGTAGTGCCCTCTGGGCCAAACTGCAACAGGGCAGTGCCTGCCGTGTGTTTTTGGACAGAGTCCATGATGTGTGTAGATTAATTCAAAATTTCAACCCCAACGACTGCATCCCCAGCGTATATCAACGACGTTGACACTCTTAGCCCGTAGCTATGAAGCTGTCAAACAACTTTTGAGGAAATGGGCTATCACTTCCTCGGTCAAAAAGGCACCAACGGAAGGGCCTTGGTGACGACCATTATTCAGTTGAACGCGTAGTTAGATCACCTAATTATATAGAAGTGCCGTTAAACCCGCCACCACCCGACACGGCCAATTAGTAAGATTCGTCACGTAAACAGAACGTGCTAATCCATTACAAGTACAGCATGCCGGTGTGTTGGAGAGCAAGACAACGATGAATCTGGAGCAGATCCTGCGTCTCGTACAACGCCGGTGTGCTGAACTAGTCACGAATTGGCACGTTCTGTTTACTTGACAAACCTTACCATGTCGCGTGGTGGCGGGTTTAACGGCACTTCTATATATTTACGCGATCTAACCCAAAAAAAACTGCATTATGGACGACCGCTATCGCGAGGCGTGATTGAAAAGTGTCGTGGGCCAAACCGCCGCGGGGAAACACTCTCGCCCCCCCCCCCATCTCCGCACACGCGCAGGTCAACGGCTCGTCAACGGAAGCACGGGGGGCGGTGGCGGCGCCGCCATTGACGCACCCCGGGGCACGGCCAACTAACTCGCTCCCCACCCTGCCGTCATCGTCATCATCGCACAGAGGCAGAGCAGACGAAGCGCTTGTACGTTGTTTACATGTGTATTTTTTTTCAACATGTTTTAACATCTTAACACAACTGTCTTATTGCCCGAAAGGGTAAAAACCCTCTTCTTATATTTTGATACTGGCAAGCAAGGTCCCATATTGTAGCTGCTCACCACGAGCTATAAATGCCCTGACAGTGGCATTGTCTTTGTGCTGTTCGCCTTTTGGCGTCCTCTGGTCTAACACTTTGATACTAAGCTCTAAAGAAAGCTGTCTCTGGTGTGGACCAATCAGTTTCAAGGACAATGCATCATATTATCAAAGCATGTTTTTTGTTTGCATGTTCACCACAAGCACGTGTGGTTAATGCATACAGGATTCCTTGCAAAATGTTTCTGTTTGGTGTTTTAACATCCTAACACCTGTTTAATTGCCACAAAGGGTAAAACCTATTCTTATATGTTTATACATATTTTAACGTACATTTTTGTCATCGTGCTCCGACTTAAAACTCAACTAAGATATTTTGGATTTGACCAGGTAAGGCCCACTGAGCTATATAGCTATTTTTCAGAAGTGACCTGGTCATAAATGATAGCTCAAAGAAGTGGCTTATCATGTGGAAATTTATAGCAGCCAAATACGCTAAACGCGTATTTATTCTAAATAAAAGTGGAGGAAAAAACCTGGAGGACCCGGAGCAAAATCCATGCGACCACGAGCAGAAAGTTCAAACTCCAAATATAAAAGTATCAGGGTCGAGATCGAACCCACGACCTCCTGTATACCAGGTGAGGTAGTTAACATCTCTCCACCGTGGCACTCCTTGAAAGGGTGATGACCAGCATACACCAGGTATTGTGTTTGTGGGAATTGGGGGGTGCCAGGAGATGACATTACCGCAGCAGTAATTTAAATCCGTGGTGGTGATTTAACAAAATGGAATCCGTCTGTTCACGACCGTGAGTGTTGATGTTGATATGGCACGCATTCTAAGTTAGTCGGTGGTCACAGTTGTTTCGTAACGTGTCCCTGAGCGCACAGTGCTTTAGTAATATTTTTCTCTCTCTAAACAGCTAGGCTCCAGGAAAGACGCGGGAGACAAGATACCACCCGTCGTCCTGTCAAAACTGAAGCTCGCCCCATCCCCAAGCGATCCTGACCGATCCTTGTCAACTCCCTACACGCACCCCAAAATCCCGGAGCTCAAGCCCAGCACCTTTCCACCTCCTCATCCTTCGATAGCGCCACCCACCCTCCCGGTGCCTGCTGCCCCACCACTGCCTCCCCTGGCCACGTCCAAATTGGCACCGCCTTCCAAAATCTTCACCGCCTCATCGCAGCCTTCTCAGGTGGCACCGTCTGTCCTGCCACACCCTTCTAAGATTCCCATCGCCCCGTCGCAGCCGTCCCAGGCCACATCGGTCTTGCCACAACCGTCGAAGATTCCCACAGCCCCATCGCAGCCATCCCAGGTCATTTCTGTTCTGCCACAGCCATCCAAAATCCCCATCGCTCCACTGCCGGCCACCGAATTCGCGTCCTCTCTGCCGCAGCCATCGCAGCCCCAGGGCAACGTGGTGTCTCGCAACGGCCTGCCCACCTTGATTTACGTCACAGGCTCTACCAGGCCCGCACGGGATGCCGAGCAGGAGCCGCTGAAGAAGCCGGGCACGAACGGTGCGGCGGTGCTGGCGAACGCCGGAGCGTCGGCGCCGCCTTCGAAAATTCCGCTGGCCGTGAAGGTGACCCCCGTGCCGAGCGACGTGGCAAGCTCGCCCCTGTCTCCTGTCGCCACTACGACCGGCGCCATCACCGCTCCGGAGACCAGCGCTTCCCTGTCCATCGCAAAAGCGTCCGACGAACCGTCGTCGACGGCGCCCCGGCCTAACCCCTCCGCCGACGGGCACACGCTGGGGAAGTATCCGTCGGTCCCCACGGGATTGAGATTCGCGGGGACCAGCGGTGGCGGAGGAGGCGGGGTCGGCACGCTGGCGCCACGGCCGCCGACGCTGAAGACGCCGTTGGTGCCGAGCCCCGGCACGGTGTTCTCGGTGTACGCGCGGCCCTCGCCGGGGAGCCCCAACTTCCGGCAGGTCGTGCACCAGAGGGCGGTGCAGGCGGAGACGACGCAGCGAGGCCACGGAGTCCGGCCCGTGCCATTCCCTGCCGGTACGCCACTGCCGTAGAAATACGCCGATGTATATTTATTGATCGGCCATCCTTGTCGGGTACAATGAGCAACGCATTCGATGCACGGTGCAGTGCGCAGCGGCGAATGCACTTGCCATCAACCTAACGAATTAACTTCCTGGCCGCGGCTGACAAATACAAATAGTAGAGTGATATCTGAACCGTTTCTGGGTATCGCCCCCTTCACCATTCCACACTGACCGGTGCGGTGAAGTATGGTCAAAGTTCTAGATTTGAAGCTTTCGTGACTGCAAGGATTCATACTCTTAGTTCTTTCGGTAAAGTCACGTAGGAAAAAATGAAACAAAAATTAATAAAAATAAAACAATAAAAAATCACGACGTTTCACTTGATGCAGCAAATCTGGCTGTGACAGTCCCACCTGATGACGGAGACTTGTGTTGCTTCCGAAACATCGTGATTTTTTATTTTTTATTGTTTTATTTTTATTAATTTTAATTTCATTTTTTACCTACGTGACTTTATCGAAAGAACTAAGAGTATGGTCAAAGTACCTGTTTGACTGACACTGCATTGGTTTTCTTCATCCAGCAGTTGATTGACAAAGAGCTGATTAAGTGCTTTCACGCTTTCCAACGAAGGCCGAGAGCCTCGATGCATTTGCGCTGTCCGTGTGTAATGGGGGGTGGGGAACCGTAACTTTTTTAAAGATGATCCGATATGAATTGATATTTCTTGTCGCTATCAGCGATTCACCCTTGAGAAATCTGGACACATTGATCCAATAGGTTATTGCCCAACACTTGGCGATAACAAACGGTGCTGAAAATTTTCAACCGGGCTGAGCAAGGAAATGACATCACGCGTGACGCGCCGCGTGATATTACCTCGTCGCGCTGCTTGAAAAGTCACGTGACGGCAACATTAAATACAAAACCAGGTTGGTGGGAAAACATTGCGGAGTTTTGATTGGTAGTTAAGGGCTGAGAACCGTCCAAGATGCAGCATGGTTAGTGGTAATTGGCGAGAATCGTTGCTTTGTAATTGTGGCTGTCCTAGGCGGCCTGGAGGGGGGGGGGGGGGGGGGGCTGGTTCTGCGACGGAGCCGGCACAGTTGAAAATTCTGGGTTTGAATCCGGGTTTCAGACGCCCGTGGTTAAACCGCATTCTCAAGTGTGGTGACCATGTTGTATGTTAAAATAAAAATCACGATGTTTCGGAGGCAACACATTTATTTTATTTTACTTTTATTAATTTAAATTTTTTACCTACGTGACTTTACCGAAAAAAACCCAAGAATATGAATCCCTACAGTCACGAAAGCTTCAAATCTAGAATGTTGTATGTTGCCAGGTAAGGCCCACTGAGCTGTATAGCTCTTTTTCAGAAGCGACCTGGCACACAAAATGATAGCTCAACGAAGTGGCTTATCACGTGGACATTTATAGCAGCCAAATGCTCTAAACGCGTGCTTCCAAATGTGGAGGGGAAAAACCGGAGGACCCGGAGAAACATCCACACGACCACAGGGAGAACACGCAAGCTTCAAATATGCAGGCATCAGGGTCGGGATTGAACCCACGACCTCCTGCTTACCCAGGCGACGAAGATAACTTCTCGCCACAGTATCAGCTCAGTCGCCAACGGCTGCACACAAAAAAAAAATCCTGTCAAATAAAATTTAATTTGTCACTCCACTTTTGATACAATCTGGCTCTTTATGCCTTGGATTTTAATCTGGGCTTGAGCCACCTGTAATTAAACCAGGTTCTCAAGTGTGGCGAGTTTTATGGTCTTAGCGTTGTTGCCAATGACTGCGCAAAAAGAAGCCACGTGGAATTTTACTTGATTAAAAAAGGGTGAAGGCCAGCTCTGGGAATTAAAATGTAGCTTTTGAGAGGTGCCCCTTATGCGGATAAAGAAGCCACTTGAGGTGACTTCAGATGTAGTTCTGTAAAGTCATCTGGGGACATTCTACGTGGCCCATCTGAAACGGCGATGGTGAATAATAGAAATGGGCAACGGTGTAATATGCGGCTCACGGATTGATGTAGACGCCCAAGGAGATTCATAGACTCGTAGGGACACCCAAAGACTTGCATGGACACCCACAGATTCAAACACACCCATAGACTGGTGGATGAGGTTGGTGACTGCAGTCGTACCGTGGTGGGTGGGGGGCAGGGGAGGCGGTGGGGGGGGAGGCTGTGGTTATTCATTTGCTATGAATGTTGAATCACCATGGTGAAATGTTAACCACCCTGCCTGGTATACAGGAGGTCGTGGATTCGATCCCGATGTTCTCCCTGTTGTCGCGTAGATTTTCTCCGGATCCTTCGGATTTTCCCTCCACATTTATAATCATGTGTTTAGAGTATTTGGCTTCTATAAATTTCTATATTAAAGCCACTTCGTTGAGCTATCATTCGTGTCCAGGTCGCTTCTGTAAAAGATCGATATAGCTCAGTGGGGCCTTACCTGGTAAAATAAAAAATAGTTAAAACAGTAAATTGTATATTTTGCTCGTGGCTGCTTGTATCCTCACAGTTCACGTGAAGCCGTTGGTGCCTCCCACTAAGACCGAGGAGGCCCCGAAGCTCAGCCTGGAACATCCGGATGGCCTCGCTCTGAGTCGTGGGGGGGCCCAGCCGGACAGACCCCATCCAGCAGCCACCCCCGTCGAGAAAGCGGCATCGACGTCCGGCCCGGAAACAACTCGCAGAGCTGTCGTTAATGAAGAGAACGGGGAAACAAGCTGCGAGGTCCTGCAGCCAGCCCCTAACAAACCAGGGGTGGTGGAGAACACAGGCAGGAAGCCGCAGCAGCAGCAGCAGCAACAGGGCAAGGAGGAGGAAAAGAGGAAAGCGGAGGTGAAAGGGACGCCACTGGCAGGCAGCAGCAGCAGCGGCAGCGGCGACGGTGGGAGGGGTGGCGAATTTACGCGGCCTCGCCCCCTGAGCCCCACCAAGCTGCTGCCCTTCCTGAGCCTGTCGCAGCAGCAGGGCGGCACCAGCGACGCCGACCTGGAGGCGCTGAGGCGGCGCCTGGCCAACGCACCGCGGCCGCTCAAGAAGCGCAGCTCGCTCACCGAGGCCGAGGGCCCCAATGGGCCCAACCTGCAGCGCCTCATCCTGCAGCGCTACCAGGCGAGGCAGGAGGCCCTGCAGAAGGGCCTCGCCATCAAGGCCCAGCTCAGGGACGGGGGCGGCCGTCGAGAGGTTGACGGAGATGGTGGCACAGAGGAGACGGCGGTGGCGGCACTATCGAATGCGGGATCGGGTCCGAAGAAAGCAGTGGTGCTGGTGGTTGTGGCACCGGCGCAGGAGGACGATGACGACGACGATGAGAGGGCATCGGTGGAGGCTGCCGCGGTGTCGCCGCCCCAGGAGTTGCTATCGGCCGAGAGCTTCGATTCGACCGTGAGCGAGAGCCCCCCACCGTCGCCCTTGACGATGGAGGTGAGAGTCGGGGTTAGGGTGTGGGTTTGGCATCGAGATAAGACTGATGAAATGGAACGTAAATCAGGGGTGGGGAACCTGAGGGCCGAATGGGACTTTTAAATACCTTTTGCGGGCCACGCACTGATGCACACACAAAGCCTGTTCACTTTTGTTAGAGATTAAGCAGTAGTAACGGAGCACAGCACCAATATTATAAGCAAAGCTTCATTGAACATGTAGGTAAATTTTTTTTGCAGCCCGTAGAAATGTAATGTTGCCAGGTGAAAAATATCCTTCCCCATTCGTACCCGATTGGAGGGGCTCAGATGCTCGCAGTGATGGATATCATTTGCAGGCCATCTCCAAGTGGTAGGCTTCATGTAGGCCGTGGGCCTTGGGGAAATGGAGTTGTGGGCCCGGGCCTGGCCTGTCGGCCCTACTATGGACGCACAATCGATTTTTTGGACAAGCGTGACATTCATTTTAAGAAAAAGAAAAAAATGTTTCGTCATCAACAGGAGGGAGATCTGAACGCGGAGGAGGACGAAGAGGAGTTCATCCCAAACCCGTACCTGACGGCAGGCAAGGCGGACCCGGGCTCCGCGGTCGTCACGGCGACCGTTCCGGTGCTCACGGGAGACGAGGGTCCGGCGGAGGAGATTCCTGACATGCCGCAGTCGCCGCCGCCACCGTACCCGTCCTCGCCGGAGCTCGACATCGTCCCCGAGATCATCTCGTCCTGCGGGCCGCTCCCTCCGGTGAGGCCGCCCTCGCTCGTAACGCCGCGGCCTCCGCGCGTGTGTCGCCGTCGTGATACAATTGTTGCCAAATTAGAAAAATGGCACTGCAGGATTACTCAATCGGGTTTATACATGGCAATCATCAACATCATCATCGCCCACAACCTCCTGAGAACACTTGTCAGGACCCTCCTGAAAAAGTCATGAGGCTAAGCGAGACTTCCCTGAGTATAAAATAACAAATAAGAATTCCTGCGCTTTCGGGAGCACGATTTTATTTTTTGTATTTAGTTGTCTCTCCCCCCCCCCCCCCCAAAAAAAAATAAAACGTCCGTTACGTGTAGAACATGGTATATCCGTCCGCCCGTGCGCACGTTTCTTGATGCACTGCGACGCAACAGCGCAACGAACACGCGTGAACACGCGTGAACACGCGTGAACACGCGTGAACTCGCGTGAACTCGCGTGAACTCGCGTGTGTGCGTCATCCGCGCAGGGCAAGCGGACGAACGTGAAGAAGCCCGGCTCGGAGCGCACGGACCACGCGATGCGCGTGAAGTTCGATCCGTTCGCCATCCTCCTGGACTCCGCCCTCGAGGGGGACTACGACCTCGTGAACAAAATCTTCCCCGAGGTGCGCGGGGGTTTGGGGTAGACTCGGGGGGGGTTAGTATAGAGGTAGGCTTGTAGGTTAAGGTTAGACTCAGGGGGTGAGGTTAGACTCAGGGGGTAGTGTTAGACTCTGAGGGTAATATTAGACTCGGGGTACGCGTTAGGGTTATGATTTAAATGATTAAGGCTAGGGGGTTGGGTTAGGGGTAGAATTAGAGATGCGACAATTGTTAGGGCCAGAGCGAAGTCTACAGGTCGGATTCGGGCTGAGATTAGTGCTATTGCGAGAGCTACGATTAGAGATGTGGATATCGGTCGGGTATGATGACAACAATAACGACGACGATGATGATGATGATGGCATTTTGGTGGTTTTGGCTTTACACCCTGTCGCCACCGCGCTGCACAGGTCGACGACCCGAGCCAGCCAAACGACGAGGGCATCACGGCACTGCACAACGCCGTGTGCGCCGGGCACATGAACATCGTCAACTACCTGCTGCAGGCCGGCGTCAATGTGAACGCCGGGGACAGCGACGGCTGGTACGCCACATGTGCCACATGACACATGGTGCACGGCACCGCATGACACATGACACATAGTACCACGTGGCACATGACAATGACACATGATACATAGTACCACGTGGCACAACATGGCACCACATGGCACATGACAATGACACATGGCACCACATGGCTCATGACATAATGCACCGCATGACATATGGCACACAGCACCACGTGGCACCACATGGCACCACATGGCACATGACAATGACACATGGCACCACGTGGCATATGGCACACGGTACCACATATCATACGGCTCATGGAAAATGGCACATGGCACCACATAGCACATGACATGTGACACAGGGCACACAACAGTGGCTGGTTTGGCCAGCTGGGTTGAGCTGGTTTGGGTTGGATTTCTGATTTCCTCCGACTGCCCTGGGACTCGTCGGTGCTGCCCCGGCAGCCAGTGCAGCACCGACGAGAGTGCCTCGCCTCCCTACGGCTTCGTAACGCGTGACATCATCTCGCGGCATCAATCGTCGTGCGGGGCATGACATCATCCCGTGCGGCTCGGAAGCTGTCATTATTCTCGCCAACTAAACACTTCTGAGGACAAACGCAGTAAATTTCGATTTAAAGCTTCCGTGACTGCAGGGATTCATCTTCTTGGTTCTTTCGGTAAAGTCACGTAAAAGGGAAATAATAAAATAATAAAAAGAAAACATAATAAAATAATTATCACGACGTTTCGGCCACGGCTGCTTGCGTTGTGGCCGAAACGTCGTGAGAATGATTTTATTATGTTTTATTTTTATTATTTTATTATTTCCCTTCTACGTGACTTTACCGAAAGAACCAAGAAGACAAACGCAGTGTTGATTGGTCGTTAAAGGTCAGCAATGAAAGCACAGGAAAAAAACCTACCCAGGTAAATATAACGGGTGATGCCGTGTTCGAGCACTGAGCCGGCACTGAACGCGGGTTTCTCCTGCCCCTCTCCCTGCATCCCCCCCCCCCGCCACTCCCCACGTCCCCCAGGACACCGCTGCACTGCGCTGCCTCCTGCAACAACGTGCTGCTGTGCAAGACGCTGGTGGAGAGCGGAGCGGCCATCTTCAGCACCACCCTGAGCGACCGGCAGACCGCGGCGGACAAATGCGAGCTCATGGAGGACGGGTTCCAGCAGTGCTCGCAGTTCATGCACGGTGCGCCCGCCAGTTCGTGTGTGTGTGTGTGTACGTGTCTGCGTGTGTATTTGTGTACGTGTCTCTGTGTGTGTGCGTGTGTGTGTACGTGTCTGTGTGTATTTGTGTACGTGTGTGTGTGTGCGTGTGTGTGTATGTGTGTACATGTCTGTGTGTTTGTGTACGTGTGTGTGTATTTGTGTACGTGTCTGTGTGTGTGTGCGTGTGTGTGTACGTGTCTGTGTGTATTTGTGTACGTGTCTGTGTGTGTGCGTGTGTTAATGTACGGGTGGCTAAAGCACAGCAAGTTGGTACAGTAGGGGCACAGGTGGTGCATCAGCCAGTCATCTCGGTCAGTCGACCCGTGGCACCTGGGTCTGCCCCGTGACCTCCTGCCAGCGGGCGTTCGACACTACACGTGGCCTCAAGGTGCACATGGCCTGGCACAAGCGTCGTGGTGACATCACCGCCACTTAGTGGCGAATGGCGGTTGTTGTTGTTGTTAATGTACGGTGTAGCGGTTAGCGTGCTGTGCTACGAACCCGGCGACCCGTGTTCGATTGCCGCTCACGGCCACCAACACCGGTGACGATTATCTGAACCGGTCCTGGGCCTTCCCAAGGTTGACTCGGCCTCAAAAGAGTACCTGGCGTAGTGTAATAGAACACCGCCACTAGGCAGACAAAGGCATCCGGGTGTGGTGCTGGCTACCCACCCCATCGTGTACCATTCAGCCCTTCATAGGTGCTCCGCTAACAGCACTTGCCCCAAAAGTTTGTTAAGGCTATTCGGGGAATCTATCTTTTTGTGTGCAAGAGTGGTGCTGACCACCTACCCCCTCGTGTGCTGTCAGCCTTCACAGGTGCTCGCTAACAGCACTTGTACCAAAAGTTAAGGCTAGACGGCGGGGGGATCTTTGTTTCGTGTGCGGGGAGCGCAGGCCTACAGAACAACCTGGGCCTGATGCACCGCTGCGTGGTGTACGCGCTGTGGGAGCGGCGCGCCGAGGATGAGGACGAGCTGTCGTTCGCCGAAGACGACGCGATGACGGTGCTGCGGCGCGGCGACGAGCTGGAAGACGAGTGGTGGTGGGCGCGGCTGGGCGAACGCGAGGGGTACATCCCGCGCAACTTCGTCGGGGTGCGTATCCTCCCGGAGTGCCGTCGTCATGTCGTGCGATCAGAGTGGCTTGCATCCCCTCAGGCTCGTTAAATAACGTAAAGGCTTTCGTTAACGAGTTCAATCCACTCCCTCCTCCCCCCCCCCCCCCCCGTTACTTTTTTTCTCGCCGACAGCTCTTTCCTCGGATCAAAGCCAAGCAGAGAGCGGAGGTGCCTTGAGCCAACCGCGGCGACCAAATCTCAACGCTTGCAACTTCTCGACAGACTTGAGACGAACATGGGCCCGCGACCCAGCGTCGACTCGGGAGAGACCGCCACTTCAGCGGTCCCAGCCGGAGGGAGGCGCTGGCCTCCTCTCTTCATAATTCATATTTCGGGCAATGGGGCTCAGATGAACCGGCGCGAGTTTTTCGCCCGCACGGTGACGTTTGTGCGCGAGCTCGGTCGCACAGACCCACGACGCCTCGAGTGCCCGCAAGCCTGTGGGGCCAGGCCCCGACTCTTCAAAATGGAATGGTTAGAGAACGCTTCACAACATAACAATACTTTGCCTGCTCACTCCCGCACGCTCCGATGAGCACAGTTGGCTACGTACAGTGTGAAAGAAGTTCAACACACACACACACATGAAGATTCTTGGCGAGGCGTGGTGGCATTAATGGCTTTGGTAACATGGTAACATCATAGAAAATATTTTAAGCAGCGTACACCCCACTCCCCCACCATCCCCCCATCATCCTCCCCTACTTCCCCCACCCCCAACGCAGGCTTCCATACCTCACCAATAACTAACAAATTTTGTATTTTACCAGGTTAAGCTCTTTTTCCAGAAGCGACCTGGCCACAAATGATAGCTCAACGAAGTGGCTTATCACGTGGAAATGTATAGCAGCCAAATGCTCGAAACGCACGTCGATTCTAAATGTGCAGGGAAAAACTGGAGGACCTTGACAAAAATCCACACGACCACGGGGAGAGAGACACACAAACTCCAAATATATAGCAGGCATCATGGTCGGGGTCCAACCCACGACCTCCTGTGCACCGGGCGAGGTGGTTAACACCTCCGCCACCGCGGCGCCCCTATTTTATTTACTCGCTGGTCACCACTGCCCATAAGGGAGACGAAATTCAGGCATTGCCAGCGAGACTTTTGCAGGCCATTGTCCGGTTGTGTCTGATCGCATAGCGCATGGGCCAGAGCAGGAATTTGTAACACCTAAGGTAGCACAGATACAGTGTCTATGGGACCTTTTTTTTCCAGTATCAAAATGGTGAAATATCAAAAGAATAGGCTTTACCCTTGTCTGGCGATGACATAGAAGGTGTTCACATGTTCAAACACCAAAGAGAACAGCTATTGCAAGGCATCAAGTCTGCATGAACCACGTGCAAACAAACATGCTCTGATAATATGTGCATTGGCTTTGAAACTGATTAGCCTACACCAGAGACAGCTTTCTTAATGGCCTTGTCTCACCAGTGTTAGCTATCGTAGTAATGATTCATTTGCATGGCTAATACGAGTGAATTATGTGTTAATACACTCATTTGAAATGATTATCACATCATTTACTGTTATTGGCAAAGTAAATAAATTAGAACCACTCAAGTTATGCCAGCTCAGGTGGTACTGACAAGTGAAATATCTAGCCTTGGCTCCCGGACTATACTCTCTCTCTCAAGCATACAATGGTCATAGGAGTGCCACTGAAGCATTAGCTGTGAACTCTCTCCACGTTTGGCTGTCCACTAAAGTTATGCCAGCTCAGGTGGTACCAACAAGTAAAACAGCTGGTCTTGGCTCACGGACTATCATCTCTCTCTCTTAATGCTAATGGTCATGAAAGTGCCACTGATGCATCAGCTGTCAACTCTCTCCACGTTGGCTTGCCTTTCCCTGTCTTTGGTGCTGTACCATCTTATCCCTCCATGTTTTCCGAAAGGATTTCTCTTTCCTCTTAATCTACACTGCCTATGGCCAAATCGCCCTAAATGTGCCAGATTATGTCAAAGCCGGGATGCTAGGCCGGGTGGCACCTGGTTCGCACTTGGATTGCGACTCCCAGAGCTTGCCAGGTGTTGTAATCGTGGGACTGAGGAAGCCAGGTTATGGCAGTGTTGAGTGTCATCCTGTAATGGGTCACGGGGTTTCTCCAGTTTCCTCTCACATGAAGCCAAACTTTCATATATGCCCAAGCATCTCAATGTAGTAGCAGGACCCTTTAAAAAAAAAGTCTAGCCTCTCGGTGAGGCTTTCCTAGGTCATTAAAGCATTGGCATTTAGGTGACCAACTAATTGAAAACTGCATTTGAGGTGCTTCATGAAACTGGCCAAGGCCCCCTGACTACTGGATCCACGTTAAGGCCAGATTTCTGCGTTGGACAATCTTGGTTCATTCTGGTGCTAATCGTGAACCGGACGTCTGCACTTGCACAATAGTTTTATTTTATTATTGTTGCCGGCCAAATTGTTGCTTTTCAAGAATGTGTGCAGATAGTCTAATTGCCGAAAATGTGTACGTGAAAAGCTGGACGCGATTCTGGACTCTGAAGGAGAAATCTATAGGTGTCATGCGACTAACGTCACTCTGAGTGATGGAGCGGGTGGTGAAGTGCGGCCCTCAAACTCAATAGATCGGAGTTTGCTTTAAGGGGTTTCGGTGGAACCCTTCCAGTCAAACAGGAAAGGTTGGCCCTGCCCTGCGAGAGATCCAAATCGGTATTTCATCACGTGACACGATGCCGATAGAAGAATCGGGATGAAATGTGAATGTCACAGTGATGAATTGCGTCGAGCTAAGGCTACCAGACATTGGCCAGAACAGGCCCGATTTCTCAAAGGCCATTCTAGTTTGCCACAGCTTTTGTGAGAAGTGTGAGGTTATCCCCGTTTTCAATGTTCTGGTCTCACGCATGGCTGAGCGGTGGGTGGGGTGAGCAAATGAGTAGGTGGGGGCCTCGATATGTGGATGGGACTCGAGTGATTGAGTGAATGTGTTTTATGTAAAAGTAAGCGTGGCCGATAGTGGGAAGGAGGAGGGGCTGCCAAGCTTGCCACGTGTCCTGGTTGAGCCTGCCAGAAATTTGGTAGCCTTATAATCAAGCACACAGAAGCCTGGGTCAGACTTGATAGTGTGGGCCACTGATGGGCGTTACCTTCGTAGCAATGCATCGCGAACCTCCGTGATTATCAAATTGCGTTCCAAAATCAAATGTTGCAGGAAGCACAACAAGGTGGCCTTAATACTGCAGGAGCCGCTCAGGCTGTTAAACACAATCATAGAGGCTTAATTGCACCAAATTAAACTTATGAAATTACTGTTTTATTGCATTAAATGTTTCATTTTGAAATGTTTTGTGTAAGATTATTTTCTGAAAAAAACTGTGATGCGGTATCTCTTATGAGTGCAAACGTTTGTATGGCAATATCTGGGTGATGTTGGGTTTTTTTTCGCGCGATATTGTATTTTATTATTGCACGTCGTGGCCATAAGTTGATGAAGATGTACAACGCTTTAATATATATAGTCATGGGGTGGGAGTGGTGGCAACAGTGCTTAGTGCGGTGCGCTATTAACCCAGTGACCTTAATTTAATTTTTGCCCACATTTGACATCAGTGGCAAGTGATACCCAAACCAGTCCTGGGACCATCTCACAGTTGACCAACTTGGTGAAGAATGGTAAAACGGCTCTGGCGCTCAACACCGCGTGGAAGAGGCCTTAAGATAGCGATGAATTGACCAAGACCTGTCTGAACGGTCAAATAAACGTACAGACCACCATTTCAACAAACTGATGGGGTTTTTTTTGTAATAAACTTGCTGTCCTTCAAGTACGGTAATTGTGGTCTTTGCAATATTGGAATCGTTATTTTACTGTAAATAATAAATTTCACTCTGGCAATGTTCACAGTGGGGTGCATTTAATTCAAAGAGAGTTTGTCTCGCACAACTACACTGCCTCACAATGGCGTATCGGGGGGGGGGGGGGGCTGGCCTTCATCCAACAGTGGATTGGCAGAGAGCCGAAAAGAACACAAACTTGTTCATTCCAGTCCTCGTGCCTCCCACCACAATCTTCATATACAAATAAAGCCGTTACACACTACACACGTCTGATGATTGGCATGGCGGATATACGGATACTGCTTATCTATATTATTTATATTCTTCACAACAACGTGAATGGTTACTTTAAGTTAAATATTACATAATTTGCATTGAACTCGGACCCATGTCTAGGTGTCCTTTCCTGTAACATCTGGCAGTTCACCAGCATTGATTGAAGCAAGCCTGATGCTGCTGATGAGACTGTGTTTTGAAACCGGTCTCGGGTTTCAGAATCAGAATATTTAAACTGGAGGAATCCGATGAGATATAAAGCTCTTTTTTCACAGGTGTCCAGTAGGAGCGGGTCAGAACGTTACAACAACAACAATATAAAAATACTGAGTGCAAAATATAGGAAAGATAAACAAATCACTGAAGACAATATTCAAATTAAACTAAAGTATATATAGTTTTTATCTTACCAGGTAAAGCTCACTGAGCTATTAACTTTTTTTTTCAGAATAGACCTGGCCGCAAGTGATAGCTCAACAAAGTAGCTAATGTGGAAATGTATAGCAGCAAAATCATCTAAATATCATAAACGCTTGTTACCAAATGTGGAGGGAAAAACCCGGTAGGACCCGGAAAACATTTCCACGTAAATTCGGGGAGAGACGCGCAAATTCCAAATATACAGGCGGATTCATGTTACAGAATAACATGAGTCCGCGACAGAACGAATTATTATGTGACTGCAGAAGGAATCAAATCAGTTTCATTTAGTTGGTATAGCCCTGTGAGCCATTCGGCTCTTGAATCGGGTGCAACCAAACAAACAAAAAACAAAATCAGGGTCGAGGGGCGGCCGAACGTGGCGTTTTTAAATCCTTTATATTAAGTTCACTTGCTTGCTTGCGCGCTTACGACCGTGCAAATCTTTCGGTCGTTTTTTAACCCACTTCCCGTGATCCAATCGAGCTGACATTTTGCACACAGACTCGTTGTGCGTGACAATTTATTTTCGTGAAATTTTTATCCAAAATTTTCCACTTTTTAAGAAAAAATAAATTCATATTTTATTTAAAATACCAATGTGATAAAAATGAAACTCTTACTCAAGAAAAACAGAAATGAATAATAAAATAAAACCGATGCCACGCATATAAAGGATTTATAGTGAAAAAATTTGTTTTTACGGGTTAATTTATTCAATCCACAAATCGCCTCTTTAGATCCAAAAGGCAGGTGACAGGAGTCACTTTATCGAAGTTTTGTATTCGGAATGTCGCAGCTTGATCCACGTTCGATCCGTGATTGAACACAGAGACACGGGGAGTGAAATCGGTCGATTGGAAGTTTTCGTGATTGCAGGGATCCATACTCTTTGGTTCTTTCGGTAAAGTCACGTGGGTAGACAAATAAATTGAATTAAATCACGACGTTTCGGGCACAAAGAGTCCGTCGATTTCCGTGCCAGTAGTATTCCTTATATGGGCAAAGGCGCGCCCAATGACTCCATATATGGGAATTGAACGTGAACATAATTATTAATTAACATAATTATTACTTAACATAATTATGTATAAATTTTGTCGATGATTCAATGTATCCTGTTACAGGGGGGAGGCGGTGCGTCTTATATTCTAGATTTGAAGCGTTCGTGACTGCAAGGATTCATACTCTTAGGTTCTTTCGGTAAAGTACGTAGGAAAAATAATAATAATAATAATAAATGAAAATAACTAACTTAAATTGAATTTCAAATAACTAAATTTAATTTAGTTTAGTTATTTTCATTGTTATTATTATTTTATAATTATTATTATACCTACGTGATTTTACCGAAATAACCTGAAAGAAATAATAATAATAAAATAAATGAAAATTACTCAATTAAATGTAATTTAAAATAACAAAATTACATTTAATTTAAAATAAAATATAATTTAGTTATTTTCATTTATCATTATTTTATTATTATTTTACCTACGTGACTTTACCGAAAGAACCTAAGATAAATAATAATAAAATTATAAATGAAAATTACTAAATTAAATTAAAAATAACTAAATTAAATGTTGTTATTTTCATTTATCATTATTTTATTATGATTTTTTCCTACGTGACTTTATCTAAAGAACCTAAGAGAAAATACTTTACGTGACGCGACGTTCAGACAGAGGCGATTTCCCTGCGGTCGTGACGGAGGCTTCTCGGTCAAGCGCTGTGGTCTCAGATCAACAAACAATTCTCCCGCCATACGCCACCGTTCACAGGCCGAAAAACGACACCTGCATCGCTGCGTAAGCCTAAACGCTCCTACGTGTTTTATTGAGATGTTAACGAGCAATATTTCACGTATGTTTAACAATAAACGAGAGATGTGTGCTTAAATTGAGCGCGAAAGGGATGCGCTTTGCATTGCTTAGCCCCTATGCGGCCTAGCTAGTCTAGTACTGCTATATGTTGTATTATTGCGAGTGAAACTTTGTTATCGTTATAACATTTATAGCATCGCAGTTTATTCTTGCGTCGTTTCCCTCATGGGGTTAGTGACATCTCCGCTTTGTGCAAGAATAGTACCGTACACAGTGGGCGGACACCGCTACGAGTATTGCGAACCTTTATGGCAGGGCTATAGGGCTTATCCCTCACCCCGCACTATTGTTTAGCGGTATTAAGTTACGCATTTTAGTGGTACGGGCACTCGTTTCACTACAGTATTGGAATTAAATAACGTACGAGTCACCCTTCCTTTGAAACAAAAATAACGATTTATTTGCGAAGAAAGTTCAGTCAAAAGTCGCTGATTTCTTTATACGTGACTTTACTGAAAGAACCAAAGAATAATTCCTGCAGTCACGAAAGTTCCAAAGTTAAGATCGCTGATTTCCATTGACAAATAGCGTTGGCAGTTCGTTGTGGGCAGTCGAGAGCATCGTCTCAACCTCGTTGTTGTTGTTGTACTGCACCTCTATGGCTCGGCGTCGTTCCCGACCCGCCTTCAGCAACCCGCACACTCGCCAGCGTGGCGAAGACTGACACGGCGCGTGGATCGAACGCCGTGTTTACACTCGTACATCACGAACGGCACTTAATCAAAACCCAACATTTTTTTGGTTTGAAGCTTTCGTGACCTCAGGGGATTCATATTCTTGGTTCTTTCGGTAAAGTCACGTAGAAGGGAAATAATAAAGTAAGACAAATATAAGACAATAAAAATTCTCACGACGTTTCGACTGCAACACAAGCAATCGTCATCATCGGGTGTGAAATCCACAGCAAGAAAATTTGAAAAAAGTGGCGTTTTTTTCAAATGATTGCTTGTGTTGCAGTCGAAACGTCGTGAGAATTTTATTGTTTTATATTTATATTATTTTATTATTTCCCTTCTACGTGACTTTACCGAAAGAACCAAGAATACAAAACCAAAAACCTTAACCGAACATTATTTGATTGACACCCGGGCATGGCTGTCTCGCTGCTGATATTCCGCGGCTGACATAACGAAGACGCGTATCCCATCGCGAGCTGACGCATTCCTGTTTTGCCACAGTTGCAGGTCTTTTCCCGGCGGTCATTGCCACAGCCAACGACACGACGAAGATCTTCCGTGACCCTCCACCGTGAGCGCGCTGCTCTCAAGGCCACCCGAGTTCCACGTGGGGGTTCCTCCCGCGACTGCCCCCCACCTCTGCTGGAACCTCTCGTACGGCGATGGCCGGAGCGGCCGGGTCCCGCGGGGACTGCGAGCAGCTCCTCGATCGCTTCCGCCGCACCGACAGCGTGCGCTACGAGGACTTCGCGGCCGTGTGGCGCGACATGAACTTCTCGCTCATTCACCAGTGAGAGCCTCACACTCGCTCGTCCACCAGTGAGGCCCTCACTCGCTCGTTCACCAGTAAAGCCCTCACACACTCGTTCACCAGTGAGGCTCTCACTCGCTCGTCCACCAGTGAAGGCCTCACTCGCTCGCTCCACCAGTGAGGCCCTCACTCGCTCGTTCACCAGTGAGGCCCTCACACACTCGTTCACCAGTGAGGCTCTCACTCGCTCGTCCACCAGTGAAGGCCTCACTCGCTCGCTCCACCAGTGAAGGCCTCACTCACTCGTTCACCAGTGAAGGCCTCACTCGCTCGTCCACCAGTGAGGCCCTCACTCGCTCGCCCACCAGTGAGGCCCTCACTCGCTCGTCCACCAGTGAGGCCCTCACTCACTCATCCACCAGTGAAGGCCTCACACTCGCTCGTCCACCAGTGAGGCCCTCACTCACTCATCCACCAGTGAAGGCCTCACACTCGCTCGTTCACCAGTGAGGCCCTCACTCGCTCGTCCACCAGTGAGGCCCTCACACTCGCTCGTTCACCAGTGAGGCCCTCACTCGCTCGTCCACCAGTGAGGCCCTCACACTCGCTCGTCCTCCAGTGAGAGTCTCACACACGCTCGTTCACCAGTGAGAGTCTCACACACGCTCGTCCACCAGTGAAGGCCTCACACTCGCTCGTCCACCAGTGAAGGCCTCACTCGCTCGCTCACCAGTGAGGCCCTCACACTCGCTCGTCCACCAGTGAATGCCTCACTCACTCGCTCACCAGTGAGGCCCTCACACTCGCTCGTTCACCAGTGAGAGTCTCACACACGCTCGTCCACCAGTGAAGGCCTCACACTCGCTCGTCCACCAGTGAAGGCCTCACACTCGCTCGTCCACCAGTGAAGGCCTCACACTCGCTCGTCCACCAGTGAAGGCCTCACTCACTCGCTCACCAGTGAGGCCCTCACACTCGCTCGTTCACCAGTGAGGGTCTCACACACGCTCGTCCACCAGTGAAGGCCTCACACTCGCTCGTCCACCAGTGAAGGCCTCACACTCGCTCGTCCACCAGTGAAGGCCTCACACTCGCTCGTCCACCAGTGAATGCCTCACTCACTCGCTCACCAGTGAGACCCTCACACTCGCTCGTCCACCAGTGAGGCCCTCACACTCGCTCGCCCACCAGTGAAGCCCTCACACTCGCTCGTTCACCAGTGAGGCCCTCACACTCGCTCGTTCACCAGTGAGGCCCTCACACTCGCTCGTCCACCAGTGAAGGCCTCGCACTTCGCTCGTTCACCAGTGAGGCCCTCACACTCGCTCGTTCACCAGTGAGGCCCTCACACTCGCTCGTTCACCAGTGAAGGCCTCGCACTCTCTCGTCCACCAGTGAAGGCCTCGCACTTCGCTCGTCCACCAGTGAGGCCCTCACTCGCTCGTTCACCAGTGAAGGCCTCACACTCGCTCGTCCACCAGTGAAGGCCTCACACTCGCTCGTCCACCAGTGAGGCCCTCACTCGCTCGTCCACCAGTGAAGGCCTCACTCGCTCACCAGTGAGGCCCTCACACTCGCTCGTCCACCAGTGAATGCCTCACTCACTCGCTCACCAGTGAGGCCCTCACACTCGCTCGTTCACCAGTGAAGGCCTCACACTCGCTCGTCCACCAGTGAATGCCTCACTCGCTCGCCCACCAGTGAGACCCTCACACTCGCTCGCCCACCAGTGAAGGCCTCACACTCACTCGTCCACCAGTGAGGGCCTCGCACTTCGCTCGTTCACCAGTGAGGCCTCACACTCGCTCGTCCACCAGTGAAGGCCTCACTCGCTCGCCCACCGGTGAGACCCTTACTCGCTCGTTCACCAGTGAAGGCCTCACACTCGCTCGTCCACCAGTGAATGCCTCACTCGCTCGCCCACCAGTGAGGCCCTCACACTCGCTCGTTCACCAGTGAAGGCCTCACACTCGCTCGTCCACCAGTGAATGCCTCACTCGCTCGCCCACCAGTGAGACCCTCACACTCGCTCGCCCACCAGTGAAGGCCTCACACTCGCTCGTCCACCAGTGAGGGCCTCGCACTTCGCTCGTTCACCAGTGAGGCCTCACACTCGGCTCAGGCGTCACGTTGTGTCATTCACTCCTTCGCGTTATGCACGGAGTGATGGTGGGTGTGCTGAACCATTTTTATCCACTCACTTTTGTGGGCCTTGAACTCGCCCTGCCTCTCGACACACGTGTCACCCGTGCATTTGCACGTTTAAGCAACGGTGATCACGGAGAACGTCGCTTTCGCTAATGATAGATCTAAATTTCTCGGCCACCTAGCTAGAGCATAATTTCGCTGCTTTGCATCGTCATAGACAGCGTTAGTAACGATGGACTTCTTATTCACTCCGGTTAACTTCTTACCCATTCACTTGTGACGTCATTGCTGCTTCGCATCATTGCTGCTTCACATCTTCCCAAGGAATGGCAGTCACAGTTGACTTATCGCCTATTGTCACTCGTGATGGTCCTGACACCTCTACTTCCTGCCTAGAGCATCACTCCCATCTTAACAGTATTACAAGCTACTTTGTCAGCAAAGGGCAATGTCGACAAGTGCACAATAATTGCGTTTTTATAGCCTTAATTTCCATGATTTGCATTGTCTTTGTTTTATTCGTGAGATCCCTCATCCCCATCACCCTGGATAATCATGAGTAGACTGTAAGTGCGTGTGGCAATGTGAGTGACATCTGCGTGTGCTCACATCTGCGTGGCACCGTGCTGTGTGCAGTGGCTTTGTGAAGGACCAGGATCGCAAGGAGTTCACGGAGGAGCTGATTCTGCTCGCCTCGCAGTACCTGTCCCCCATCTACAGCTTCCAGGTGCGTGTGGGGGCGCTGTACCTGCTGTACGCCATCTACCACACGCAGCTGTGCCAACCAAGACGCAAGGCAAGGCTCACAATCAACGTGCCAATAGACACCTTCCTTGGCACTTGTAGTTAACTTTCGGTTATCCTTGGGTGCATTATCCGGTAGGCCGGTTAACTGTTTTTGCCAAAAAATGTATTATGTTTTTTTATGCTCGTTGGTTTAATTTTGTATACATGTATGTTGAACCTCTTCTGCACCGTACGTAGCCAACCGTGCTAATCGGAGGTGCTTTAAGCTACTCCCCACTTGTATGACATGATCAACCACCCCCCACAACCTCACATGGTGGTAGGGGGGGGGGCCTCGTTCAGAAGTGAATGGCCACACGGGACGAATATATTCTTTTGAATGTGCATTCAAGCGCAGCTATTTTTTGAAATCATAGTCTTCAACTTGTAACGTGCACAGTATTCACTCACCCTCGAAGAGAAACAATGACTCGGAGATGTGAGGAATCACAGACAAGCGGGAAGGCAGCCACACGGTGAGCCGGCACTAAAAATTGCCCAAGATCTGCCGTCCTTTATCATTAGATCTCTTTTGCCAGTACCAAAATATAATAATAGGTTTTTTCCCCTTTTTTTGAGCCCTCATTACTTTGATAGTGCATTGTCTTTGAGCTGTATGCCTTTTTGGCGTCATCTGGTCGAGCACCAATTGAGACGAGGCTCAAAAGCAAGCTGTCTCTGGTGTGGACCAATCAGTTTCAAGGACAATGCATATATTATCAGAGTGTGTTTTTTGTTTGCATTTAGACTGCAAGTATTGTGGTTAATGCAGACATGAATCCTTGTAAAAAGGTTTCAGTTTTGTTGGCAGAAAAAAATGGGAAAATCCCTATTATTATACTCTTCCGTCCTCTTTATATGAAGATATTCTCGGCCATTTAATGCATGTTTACGCGTGGGAGGAAACCGGAATGCCTGCCGAAAACCCACGCGTGCGAGCCACTTTAAATGAAAGCCGTTGCTGCAGATTCGCTTGGCGCTGAAAGATTGGGACGACCTGAGCAAGCTGTACCAGGAGATCGTGGAGCAAGAGCACTATGACGCCGACTACATCTACCGCTCTCTCTGCGACCAACACGCCTTCCACTACACCGCCTTGCCTGCACCGGTGCGGTCCCCCGAAACACACACACAGACACGGTGCACGTCGGGCCAGACGAGAGTGAAACCAACAAGATAGATGGTACAAATGAGAAAAAATAAATTGTAATTCTTGAATAATTATTCGTGAAGCAAGTAATGACATCTTCTTGGTTCTTTCGGTAAAGTCACGTAGAAGGGAAATAATAAAATAATAAAAATTTAACAGAATCAAATAATTCTCACGACGTTTCGGCCACAACGCAAGCAGCCATCCTCCGGTGAAGACCAGGTCTGTCGGGGAGACAGCGTCTGAATGAAACACCACCACGCTTGGAGCGTATATTTAAGCTGGGTTGGAAGGGGAAGAGCGCCTTGACAAAATAATTTGCATATCAAAGAACCAAGAAGATGAATCCCTGCAGTCACGAAAGCTTTAAATCGAAATTCAAGTAATGACAATGAATTTCCACGATGAGCGGTCACATCTTATAGTTTCATTGCCCGCTTTGAGCTGTTGGGATATGACTCAATTTGGTCCTTCTACCATCTCTCTGTCCGTCGCTGCGTCTTGCAGATGAGATCTTTTTTGTCACGACAAATTTTTTGATACTTGACGTCCAGTCAGATTGTGGTCTTTCCCGTCCCCCGAGGACCTTCAAATGTTTCCTCCTTAATCAACATTTTTGCAGCGAGTCACCATTGCTTCTGGTCGCTTGTCCGAAATATTTACATTTAAATTTCGATTTAAAGCTTTCGTGACTGCAGGGATTCATCTTCTTGGTTCTTTCGGTAAAGTCACGTAGTAGGGAAGTAATAAAATAATTTGCATTTGAAGAGGAATTTAGCATATTTATATATGCTAAATTCCTCTTCAAATGCAAATTCTTTTGTCAAGGCTCTCTTCCTCCTCCCTCACGGCTTAAATAGACACTCCAAGCCTAAGACGTGTCATTTAGACTCTGTCTTATCGACAGACATGTTCTTCACCTGAGGACGGCTGCTTGCGTTGTGGCCGAAACGTCGTGAGAATTGTTTTATTATGTTTTATTTTTATTATTTTATTACTTCCCTACTACGTGACTTTACCGAAAGAACCAAGAAGATATTTACATTTCCTATCCTTGACCTGACTGTAACCAACATTCTTCGTATACATCTATGCTTTTCAGGCCTCCTTGATCAGGGCTTGTTGAAAAATATAAATTGCTTTGATCAACAAAAACGTATGTGTAGCGTGCAGATAAGGTGACCTGCACCTCTCTTTAATATCTCAACACAGCTGATGTTCCGCATGGGGAAGATGCGGAAAGCAAACATATGGAAGGAGAAGATGAACGAGCATGGGGGTCTCCGGCAGAACCACAACCGAGTCTCTGGTGTGGTGAGCACCGATGCCATGGAGGTGAGTGAACCCTCGATCGCTACTGGACAAGGTTCTTCAACTATATTCTCCAGTGGACCAAACAATAAATGAAACTATAAACTTTTTTTTTACATTTGACCAGGTAAGGCCCACCCAGCTGTAACTATTTTTCACAAGTGTCGTAGGTGGACAAGATACGCCATGGCAGATGTCACACTGGGCCGTGGCATGTGGGCAGATTAGTATAGGCCAGGGGTCGGAAAACCAAAAATATTAAAAACTATTTAAGCAAATCTATGTTTTATTTTACCAGGTAAGGCAACCTGGCCACAAATGATAGCCCAATGCAGTGGTTTATCATGTGGAAATTTATTACAGCCAAATACTCTAAATGCGTGATGTTCATTCTAAATGAGGAGGGATAAACCAGGAAAAAAAATGTCCGCGACCATGGGGAAAACATGCAAACTCCAAACATATAAGCGACAGGCTCAGGATCAAACCCACGCCCTCCTGTATGTATACTAGGCGAGGTAGTTAACATCTTGCTACCGTGGTGCCCTTTAAGGAACACGTGAATACAATTATCTCTACGTTTTAAGTGGCCCATAGCTTAATACAATTCGCGTGTCCTGTTGGCCACATGACGTCATGTGTCCGGTCTGCATACGTCATGATGTCATATGACATCGCAACGCCATAACGTCTCTCTGCACGTGACCGCTAACCAACGCGCACCTCTTGTATTGAGGTCTCGCCTCACTTTGTCTCACTTTCACCTCGCTAATCAGTATCCCTTAAGTCTCAGCTGGCCATAGCTCGTTGGGCCACTCCAAAAGCTTTCTTGGCTCCCCCCGGGGGTCTTCACTTGAAGAGCCCTGCGGTGTGCATAATCACGACTACAAGTTGGGGGGCTGGCTGACTCTTTGACGAGGCAGGGAGGGGGTGGGGGGCAGCACGAGGGAGATTTCGGGGGTGGTGTCTGGCGAGCAGGGCCTAGGTGACTTAGTTGTGTCGACTAGGAAAAGCGTGAACACCCTCTGTGTGCAGGTGCTGCAGCCGACGGGGTAATAAGGACGCGAGGTGGCTTAGTCTAACTCTGTGGAGGAGCTCTACTTGAAGGGATAAGGCACGAACGAGGTGGTTTATTTTTAATCTGGCAAGAGATGTAGGTTCAAATCTCAGCAGCAGATTGCATGGTACTTTATTTTACCCACCTCCTATGCTGCAGTGTTGATGCTGTTTTAAACGTCAGTAATGTGTCCAGTGCATTATATGTGAGCACTTAGTCTTTTTAAAGGAATTGTGGAAATATGAGCTGGTGCTCACGAAAAATAATCGTGGTCTTTAAGACTGATTGTATATGATGACACACTCCAGTCTGATTCTACTGAGAAGACATTATTGAGCCTGCTGGTTACAATTTACAACACATCTAATTTCCAAGAAACGATGACCTATACGAAGGACAAGCCACGGGAGTGTGACTAGCCATGCAACCCAACTTATGGAGCATTTTTAAATCCCCGGATTGCGCGCTCATTCAACGGAGGAGGAATAGCAAAACCACACGAACTTTACTGAAGCTCTCTCATGGCTAGCAGACCTAGACATTGCCATTCGGTTTCCGAAAATTTTGCTGCCATTCGCAAGATTAGAATAGAATGACCTACACGCCTACATATAATCCATTCACACCTGCGTACTTCCACATTGCAGCTGTGCCCACTGGGCAGACATTATCACGTTTTGTGCAAGCACCATAGTTATTGGAAAGGTCATTAACTAGGAAGTAATATGTCTCACAGAGTCCGTGTTGTAAGTTGTAACAATTGTTGAACGTATTCAGTTGCATAACATAATTCTCAAGAGTTAGTATCTCATTTATGTCGGTGGACTGAATGAGCTAACTAGTTCATCAGTTGAATTTGCACTTCATCATCATCATCAGTTATGATCAGTTCACTCCTTGATGAAGGCCTCCCCAAACCATCCGCTGTCTTTGGTCCTGCGATGCAACATTCCATAGAACAGTTGCGCATTTGCCGATTAATTTGTATTAGCCACCACTAGAAATAATTGCACTCCGTGACAAAAGCATGATAATTCCACCAATGTCATCAATTAAAATACATTCTTACGCGTTACAATGCATGCACTAATTGTGTATTATAGGGCTAGACTGTTTATGATTTTTTTTTTCCAAATTGTATTCAAATTATATGCTAATGATACGCTTTAGGCCAGTGGAGCGAACAAGAATGCACAGACGAGACAAAACGAATGATAAAGACAATACAAACGGAGGTGATACAAATTCGACAAATAATTGCTTTGTGAATCGAACCGCAACCCCCGAATTATGCCACAGTTCATTGTCCCTTTGGTTGGTGAGGGGGTGGGGAGGATAAATAGATGCGAACGGTTAAATGCATAAAACTCCGGTCTATTGCTAAGCGCGGTAAACATGTATATATATGTATGTTGAACTTCTTTCGCACAGTACGTAGCTAACCGTGCTAATTGGAGATGCGGTGGGGTGTGTCCCCCCCACCTGCCCCGACCTCTTGCCAGGAGCTACAGAATATCCACGAGCACTACCACCACATGAAGTGCGCCATCTCCACCAGCAAGTTGCAGCCGGACAAGAGCCTGAGCCTGGTGCGGGATGACATGCAGCGGGCGGTAAAGGACGCGCTTGCCACCTACCAGCTCTGGAGCGACGTGCGCGCGAGCAAGGTAAGGGTAAGGGGCAGCTCGGTCTAGTGGCGTAGCTGTCGAGTAGTGCGCAGGAGGTACAACTGCATCGACGGAATCTACGGTACTGGCGGACAGAGCGTGGTCTATTTTCTGAACGCGATGAGCTATAAAACTTGTTTCACCGATTTAGATTTAAAGCTTTCGTGACTGCAGGGATTCATCTTCTATGGGTCTTTCGGTAAAGTCACGTAGAAGGGAAATAATAAAATAATAAAAATAAAACATAATAAAATAATTCTCATGACGTTTCGGCCACAACGCAAGCAGCCGTCCTCAGGTGAAGAACAGGTCTGTCGAGAAGACAGAGTTTATTTCACCGATGTCCAGTCGGGGCACGTCATAACGTTACAACAACGAACAATACAAAAAAAAACGTCATTCTTCACCAGGGCCCATGGCAATCGCGCCACTCCACGGAACTTGCGTAGAACCCCATAGGCTCACGAGGACCCATCGACATTGCACAGTGGTGGCTCAGTTATCGAGTTTGCTGGCGGCGCAACTGCACCGGCAACCCCACGGTGCCAGAGGGGGCCAGGGCTGGGGTACGAAGGTGGGGAAAGTGGATAGGGAATGGGGGAGTCCTCATTTTCATTTCTTCCTCCAGGGCCCATGTCAACGACGCCACGCTCATGTGTTCACCAAAGAACTAAGAGTATTCACCAATCCCGTTTATCAAACCACTTGCCCGTATCCAATTGTCTGGCCGGCACGACGCAATCGTAAGACTTTTGTGCGAAGATTATTTTCTGGCTTGTCCTGCACATCCAGTTGGCCAGCTTGTTTAGGCGTGTCATTGTATGAATATATTTATTGAGGACTGATCAGATGCTTCTAAAGCTATGCTTATTTATGTGTGTAAACATTTGAATGTAACAAAATGCTTAATAAAATTTTGATTTAAAGCTATCGTGACTGCAGGGATTCATATTCTTGGTTCTTTCGGTAAAGTCACGTAGAAGGGAAATAATAAAATAATAGAAATATAAAACAATAAAAATTCTCACGACGTTTCGACTGCAACACAAGCAATCATCATCGAGTGTGAAATCCACAGCAGGAAAATTTGAAACGTCGTGAGAATTTTTATTGTTTAATATTTTTATTATTGTATTATTTCCCTTCTACGTGACTTTACCGAAAGAAGCAAGAATAAAAATGCTTAATTGTTTAAATAATTAGCCACCGAGTAAGTAAATGAAAATCATGTAGTTTGATTTAAATACTGCTGAGTAACGGTGGCATTATGGTTAGTGCACTTCATTGAACCAAGTGGGCTGAGTTTGATTCCTAGCGAGTGGCATCTGAGTCAGTCCTGAACCCACCCCGTTTCACTAACCCACAATCACTAGCACGGTGAAGCGTGACCAACATGGCGTGGGAAGGCCTTCGTCTGGGAGTGGATTTTCGTTGATTCTCAACATACAGAAAATGTATTTTTTTGGTTTTTCATACGTTGTTGTTCATTTGCAATATGTCATCGTGTTGGTGAGTTAATTTTATTTCAATTCTAGAAACCTAGAGCCGCCTCCACGGGGAAGTCAACTGAAAGGAATGCGGAGGACAAGGAAAGACATTCGTATGAGGAAGACGATGCAGTGGTACGTTAGTTAAATGATCATCACAGTTACTTACAAGTCAATCAAGTGCTCCACTGTGTAGTCTGAACAGTGTAAAGCATTCTGTTGTGAAGCTACGACTGCAGTTTCACAATGAATACACTTAATTTATTTACAGGGTTGTTCCAGAGCCGAAAAATTAGCAGCCATCAAAAACAAGTCCTACAACAATCCGACAAAGGTAAGAACTGAGCCTGACACATTACAACACGTGTAAGAATTTATCATAACGATGGTGTGCTCATTGGTTGTGACCCTGAGCGATGCGGGGTGTTCCACTCTTCATTGCTTTTTGACTTTCAAAAAATAAATAATCCTTCCTCCTCCCACCCTCCCTTGAGGCCCCCCGTTCACGCAGGCATCGGCAAACTGAAATCAACTCATCTGAGGACGACCTCAGGAAACACGACTCGCCACGGAGAAAGCGGCCTAGGAGTGGATCTCTCACACCGAGGCCAGGTGCCGTCTCACGAGACAAAGAATCCATCTCGATTTAAAGCTTTCGTGACTGCAGGGATTCATCTTCTTGGTTCTTTCGGTAAAGTCGCGTAGAAGGGAAATAATAAAATAATAAAAATTAAACATAATAATTATAAAATAATAAAATAATACAAATAAAACATAATGTTTTATTTTTATAATAATGTTTTATTTTTATTATTTTATTATTTCATAATTATTATGTTTTATTTTTATTATTTTATTATTTCCCTTCTACGTGACTTTACCGAAAGAACCAAGAAGAAAAAAAAAGAATCCATCCTTAGCTCTTGCAGAGCGGAGAGCGAACCCCCTCCACGTTAGACAAAGACTCCATGGAAGTGGGCATTACAGAACCACTTCTGAGATGTCTTCAAGTTAGCACTAAATCACACAGTTTGGGGAGGGGGGTGCGGTGGTGGGGAACGGTCAACAGCACTCACTCGCTCACGCCGGCTGTCTTCCCCCACACAGCTGGAGCGGCGAGCCACTTGGCGGATGACTGCTACGGCGTCGAGGAGGATACTCCGACCCCACCGAGCGATCTGCTGAGCATGCCGGTCATCGAGGAGGAGGTCGAGGGGAAGGTGACGGCGGGCACTGAAGGTGTGTTAACCCCCGGACGGTGTTCCTCCCTCGGTAGATCGCTAAGATAAAACCGCGCGATGTTGGGCACGGAGTGGAAACGTTTCGCTCCACGTGCTGGGAGCTTCGTCAGAGGCTGAAGCGGAACGTCGGACGTCGTGCCGAGCAGCGCGCAGTGCAAACCGAAATAGAAGCGAGAGAGCTGTCACCACGCAATCGTGGAATTCTACACGGTCGTAGCACAAAACTGAGCTTCAGATTAGGGTTTATGTCTGAGTAATTGACATCCAAATTTTGACACTTTGAGTTAAATATATTTTCGGCAGGTAAAATGCAACATTACCTTGAAGTCATGAGTATTTGAATAAATAATCTCAAACAACTTATGGGGTATGCATGAATATTAGAGCCTTGCATTTTAACTGCGACATTACTTCGTATGTTTAATCATATTTTCCCAAAGCTATTCCCCCTGAAGATACTCCCTTGGCAAATTGTCTAAAAGTTGTACATTCTTTGAACAGGAAAAAATCTAATTCCACTTAATTTAACGCCGGTTTCCGTTTGTCTATTGCAGTTGCGATGCAACCATCAAAAAAGAGGCAAAAGACAAAGTGACTTCATCAACATCGCCAATTCTGTAGTCGTCACCGATCACCAATGACAGAGACCTGTGGAGTCCCACACTAACGTGAAGCAACGTCGTTGTCATCGTCAGCCGCTGTCCTATCGCTTGACGAATGCCTCCCCCACTCCATCGTCCCTCCTCTGCGGGCTTGCGATGCCACAATCCATCTCGCCGCTGCGCACGAGCTGATTTCATCGCTCCGTCTCCGCGGTCGTGTGCGTACTATCTCGGGGCGTGTCCACACCCTTCGACTGCCACTCCACCGTTAGTCTCGTCTGTCAGCCCGTTGTCCCCTCTCACCATGACGTGTCCTGCCCAAGCCCACCGAATGTTCTGAGCGGTCGATACGATGCCTCTGATTTGTGTTTACCCCCAGGACGCATCTGTTTCTCTTTCGTTCTCTCGGTGTCATTCCAAACATGCATCTCACCTCTGTGGTTATATTCCATCTAATAGTTCAGTTTACATGGTTCTGATGCATATGTCATAGCTGGCATTACCCACTGATTGAAAAGCATCTTCAGACACACTGCTATATTGATTTTTGTCATCAAAGTTAGTTATTCTAAGGAAGTGTTTTTGGTTGCAAGGCCCGCGGGCCACTGGCCGCCTTTAGTGCGGCCTCCACTGACAATACACAAATAGTGAAAAGACCCCTTGCAGGCAGTGTGGCGGCCCTCACTGATGATATTCTATGGTTCTTTCGGTAAAGTCACGTAGATAGAAAAAATAATAACAATAAAAATGAAAATAAATTGAATAAAAAATAATACAAATATCACGACGTTTCGATCGCAACACAAGCAATCGTATTTTTTTTTTCTCTGACGATTGCTTGTGTTGCGATCGAAAGGTCGTGATATTTTGTATTATTTTTTTATTCACTTTTTTTTTTCTATCTACGTGACTTTACCAAAAGAGCCATAGAATATGAATTCCTGCAGTCACGAAAGTTTTAAGTCAAAATAAAACTCGCCGATGTTTTATCGGTGCAAGTGGCTCCCCTCTAAAAGTGAATGAAGAACACTGCTCTCAGGCACTCATTCCTGCTCTCGTTTGCATTTTAATGTTTACATTTTTAATCCCAGTCCGCTGTCCATAACTGCCTTCAGTATACTCGTTCTGCTGTTTTCCAGTTCTCTCCCTCCATCTCGCCTGTTATGCAAGACGTATTGCAAATTAGTTTTCATCAGAGTATTAACCAGCTCAGATGTATTGATGACAGTCGTGGTAACAGTGAGAATGAATTACATTAAATGATTGAAAGGAACAAGGTTAAACTCGAGACGATTACGAAGCAGCATGCAAATTGAGAATCATGAATGTGGTCATCAATATAACAAAAAACATGTTTAGATAAAAGCTGGCTTCAAAAAACAAGCTTAACATTTGGTCAGCGGTATTATTCTCAATACCAAAATTCCGAAGAACGTTTCTACTATGCCGCCTGTATAAATATGTACATAGAAAAAGGAAACCAATTTTTTCCACGTGTTTAAGGCACTTCAGCACTCTGTGCGTCTGCAAATCTATATTTGTGGTACCTCAGCATTCATTTTTATTCTAGATTTGAAGCTTTGGTGACTGCAAGGATTCATACTCTTAGTTTTTTCGGTAAAGTCACGTAGGTAAAAAATGAAATAAAAATTAATAAAATAAAACAATAAAAATCACGACGTTTCGGAGGCAACACAAGTCTCCGTCATCAGGTGGGACCGTCACAGCCAGATTTGCTGCATCAAGTGAGGCAAGGATTCAAGATGTAAGCCCTTAAAAGATGGGCTTAAAAGCAGGGCTTACATCTTGAATCCTTGCCTCACTTGATGCAGCAAATCTGGCTGTGACGGTCCCACCTGATGACGGAGACTTGTGTTGCCTCCGAAACGTCGTGATTTTTATTGTTTTATTTTTATTAATTTCATTTTTTACCTACGTGACTTTACCAAAAGAACTAAGAGTATTCATATTTATGTTCGGCACCGAGTGATATTCTGGAGTGCAACGAAGTATCAATTAATCCGTTGATGTCCGTTTTTGAACGAGCGATACTATGCATTGAAGAGTTTTGTGATGTACAGGGTGCTTCGACATATTTTAACACTTGTATGAGACTATCGTTTATAATGGAAAAAGAACGGATAATACACTGTAACATGATAGCAAATGTAATGTTAATAGCTTCACAAAGTCGACGAGTTTCTACTTGTTCACCATCGTTGTCAACGCGTGCCTGGAATCTTCTCCAGGTGGTCTCCAGAGCCCGGAGGCACATTTCTTGTGATACTGTTGCAAATTCTCAGAAGTGTTCACATGTTTTTGAAGCACCCTGTATGTGGTGTAGGCGCAGCGGTGACATCGGTGAATGCACCGCACTATAAACCCGGCGATCTCAATTCATTTCCCGGCCGTGGGTAACAATTTGCCAATTACATCGAAATTGGTTTTGCACCCCCCCCCCCCGTCCTCTAACCAGCTTGGTGAAGTATGGTCAAACAACCCCCTTTGCCAATGTAGAGGTGAGAGTAATTCACCCAGCTGTAGATGGACAAAGAGCTGTAAGTTATTGTTTTTATATATTGTAATCGGTGCACATGATCCCTGCAATATCAACGACCGCGATGTTACAAAAATAAAGAATGTTCCTGAATTAAATCCTGGCACCGCGACTAGTTTATCAACTCATTGCACTTACAGAGATGAAGTAAATCATCGCATACCCCTCATCATCACACAAGCTGCCCAGCAGAGGGAGTGATTGTTATGCCTCGGCGTTGTGCGTTGCTTGGTTAAAAAAAATAACCCTTTCAGCTTTGTCTTTTTGTTGTTTCACGAAATGAATGCCGAGAGTAATATTGTTTTTGTTGTATTGGTTGCACGCGTGTTTAACGTGCGTGGGTGTGTTTTCCAGCGTGTTTCTCTTTTTTTTGGCTTTGCAAGGAAACGTTCAGTTGTTTTAGGAGGTAGTTGAAAAATGCTAACGAATTTAAGGAAAATCATGAGTTTTGAAAGGGGGGAAAAACCCGCAGCCGAAAATGGGCCCAACTCCAGCAGGCGCGAGCTCCATCCACCATAGGGCCTGAACAACATGAGTGGGGGGATGGGGGTACCTCTTCAAATTAAAAGTCACCAGCATCGGCACTGCCATGCACGAGAGCCGCCGGTACAGAAACAGGTGTCGGGGTGTTTATTTTGGAATGGAAACCGTGCTGACTTTTAATTTAAACCCGTTGTGACTGCAAGTCTAGAGAGGGAGAGAAGCCGACAGCATGCGTCCGTTTGCAAAAAAAAAAATTTGAAAACAACCGTAGGCTTCAAATTAACGATTTTTAAAAGGCAACGTTACTAAGAAAACAATCGTCAAGGAAAAGTGAAAGTTGTAATTGCGATGGTGGTGCTATTGCGGGTGAGGGAGTACATTGGCATGAAGCTGTGCAATAATGTTGGGGGTGGGTGGGGAGGGTTAAAATATGCATGATTAAAGCATGCGCTCCCGAACACTTAGGCTATTCATTACTCATCTTGTCATATTTCTCCATTATCCAGTTGTAAGTTTGGCTATCGATATTTAGTGCATAGGGTGTCGTGCATTGGTTAGCGCACTAAACACCCAGACTCCTCTAAAGTTTGATTCTGGGCCACGGATTACATAAGTGGAGGAGTACATCTGAACCCGTGATCGTTTTCCCTTCACCAACAGGCAAGATATTCTTGGTTCTTTCGGTAAAGTCACGTAGAAGGGAAACAATAAAATAATAAAACAATAAAGTTCTCACGACGTTTCGACTGCAACACCTGATGATGATTGCTTGTGTTGCAGCCGAAACGTGAGAATTTTATTGTTTTATATTTTTATTATTTTATTGTTTCCCTTCTACGTGACTTTACCGAAAGAACCAAGAATATGAATCCCTGCAGTCACGAAAGCTTTAAATCAAAATTCAACCCGCAAGAGTTGCCCTATACGCAACCCACACAGATGAGTATGGTGACGTATGGCGAAAACATGCCCCATAGACCGAGAGAGGCCTTCATCCAGCAGTGGATTGGCAAAGGGTTGCAAGCAAGTGTTACATCACATGGGTGGATTTTGTCAGTCTTGTGCCCACGTTGAGAGGCGCAGCAGAAACCCTGCACTCCAGATAATTGATCAACCTCATCGTGCTGGAAGATTTTGGTTAACTTGTTTTGTTACATTACCAATGTTTGCGCCAGCTTTCGGAATAGCAAGACTCGCGTTTGTTTTTTTAACTTTTTTTTTCTCGGTCTCCGAAGCCCCCAGAGTATTTTGGAAGTTGTAAAAAAAAGGAGCGGACGTGGCAACCCGAGGTTTATGGGGTTTTTTTTTTCTCTGACATGAATTTCTCCTCCAGCTGATGTTTTAAGTCACGTCTTTTCACTCTCATTTCCCCTTTACGGAGGTAGCCCTTTGTCCTCCACTTAAAGATGTTCATTAATATCAAGGGAGCCGCGGCGCGCTTTAACCGTTACGCGTTTGGAGATTCCCCACTCCGCGACCACGTGGAAGTGATCTGGGCCTTCTGCCTCGTACACCAATCAAAGCAGACCGCAAGGAAACTCTTAAACCCGTTGGGTGCATACCTCCCAGCTTGCGAATGGGACCACGTTGACGGACTACGCCCAATAGCTGTTTGCTAAACCAAACCTTTGCTTTGAATGTGTGGGTGTGTGTGTTCGTGTACGTATGGGGAACGGTTGTGTAGCGGTTAGCGCTCTGCGCTACGAACCCGTGGCGCCTCGAGTTCCGTTCCCGATCACGGCAAAAAAATCCCGTGACGATTCCTCGGTCGACTCAGCCTCAAATGAATAAACCTGGTGCAGTGCGTAAAAAAAAACATCACTGGGAAGACAAAGGCGATCGGGAGTTTTTTATTTATTTATCCTGGCCACCCACTCGTGTACCATGCCGGCCTTCATAGGTGCTCGCGAACGGCAACTTGCCCCAAAAGTATGTTAAGGCTACACTGGAGGTGGCGGGGTGGAGGGTTCTTTGTCTTTTGCGCGTGCGTGGCGTGGCGACGTTCTAGCTGGAGTGCGATGCGGGAGGGTTTTTTGGTCTCCGTCTCTCTCTCTCTGTGTGTCTCCCGCGCGGTGTTTTAGGGAGGGTAGCTTCTCGTGGCATTCCGCTGTGCAAACAAGTCCCTTAAAAGCCAAAAAATGGGGAGGGGGGGGGGTTGATGGTTACGGTATTAGCGAAAGCATTCGAGCTCGCAGCGTAGATGGCCTCCCTTCTTATTTCTTGCCGTCATGTATACGCTTACAAGCGCCTGTCCTCCGCAGTCTAGACGGTGAAATGAGAGTGGGAGGCTGATTTTTTTTCTTTTTTGGGCCGCTGCCCGCAACACAGCCAACTTTGCCTCCCATCCCCCACCAACTCTTTCCCCCCTCGCTTTCCACCCAACCTCTGGCTTTCAGCTCCTTGTCTCTCTCCCTCCACTCTCTCTCTACCCCCCTCCCCGGCTCTCTGCCACTGCACTCTTGCCGCACGCACGCACACACACACACCCCAACAACCCTCCACTGGCCTCCCTTTATGCAACATTACACTGAGCTATATACCTCAACAACTTAAATGGCCGAAAGTTCAGACGGCAGGGAGAAATTCCAGAAACTGCCCGCGTGTGTGTACGTTATATATTTTGTCATCTTAACCCTGCGTCTTGGAACTCGTGCGTATCTGCCGTAAATATTTTGGCTAATTTCCACGGTAACGAAATTACCGCAGAACGCGAAGATCGCACAAC